GGATCCTTTGGTGCCGGCACCAAATTCGATCCGCATTGCGCGGCCGCGCAATGCAATACATACAACCCTAGCTACTCTAGCTTGACAGGTTATATTTCAATGCCATATATGTGTGGCACTGAGCGGCCACCGTACTTAGTGGGACTGAGTGGGTGGCTAATCATTGAATGCAGCATGCATGATAAGCCCGCCAGCGTTCATGGTAACTCTAGCTAGCTACAGTAGCTCTTTAGTAGGGCGCGTGCCGCTGCCAGTATAAGCATCCATACTTGATCGACCGGACTCACCGTACATACTAGTCATTTGCAGCAGCTTACGCGATTGCGTATATCCAGACTTGTGAGCCGGCGGCGCGGAAGCACTTGATCCGGTAAGTTGAAGTTGCCGAGTTGCATGGCACAACGATCACGATGCATCCTAACCGGCCCAATCTTGTCGAGTTGGTATTCGGCACAGGCTATCTGTCCCGTACCAATCTTGCCAAGTTGGTCACGTGTTAGTAGAGCGAGCTTGTATGTTCGGTGCCATGTATACATGCAAAGGGGGTGTTCATTGAGATGATCTTTTGCTGCCGGCCGCCCTGCGGGTTCCGGTACTTCGCTTCACTGGCCCAGGCTTTCCGAGTTGACTCTAAGCTTATCCTTGGACTCGTCGATCCAGATACTCAATCTGAGCTTCGAGATTGTCACTTCAGACCTTGAAGAAGTATTGAGGGTTAGCCTTGCAAAGGCCTGTGCTATTACCACGGCATGCTGCTGGAAACAACGCCATGCCCATGCGGCCACAGCGGGCTCATTGGATAGTCAGATTCACATCCGGAGACCGTTGGAAGCAAGCCCGCCTCTCAAAACACAGGGTACTAACGTACGGTGGGTATTTCCAGATCAGAAAAAATCGCATACGTCAAATCCAAGCGCAAACGTTGGACACCCAGACTCAGGTAAGTAGGCAGATTCTGGGCAACGAGATGGCTGCGCAAGAGGGACCAAAAAGCAACCGTTATAGGGGTTGCCGTGCACATCTTTTCTCCAGCTTCACACGCAAGCTGAGCAGCGGGATTTTATCCAAAAGACGACAAACTCTAATCAATCCAATACATATCATTGGGTCATGCATGTGCCGTCTTCTATTGAAGTGAGCAATCCGGTGACGCTACATCAGTTTATACAAATACCCTTTCTTGTAGATCGTGAAATCAGCTTCGAGCTGGCTCAAATGCCCTCTGATCTCGTCTTTTGGGATCGTGGGGAACGTGGCCGTAAAGTGCTCAAACGTGGCCTGCAGAAAACGGGAGACTCTCAGGGTTCGTCAGGGGTACGAAACTTTGCCCTTACGAAAAGTAACGCAAGCGATTGTCAAAGTTCCAAGACGCTTCCGCTGACCTCCTCCGCGTAAGCGTCAGATGCAAGTCTATTGCTTGAAGAATCAAAAGTTTGCATTTCTGAGTGAAATTGCACGCGATTGCCACATACCAAGCCGCTTCGCTGACTTACTCGCCGTAGAAGCGAGATGCAAGTCTACTGCTTGGAAGCGTTCACATCTTCGCAGTTATGAGTAATAGTGCACGCGATTGCCAGATTCCAAGTTGCTTCGCTGACTTACTCGGTGTAAACGTCAGATGCAAGTTCACTGCTTGAACCATTAGAACTCTGCCCTTATGGAAAGTACTCAACGCGATTGCAAGTTATCAAGACCCTTCGCTGACCTACTCGGCATGCAAGTCTACTGCTTGCCATCACAATACGGGCAAAGCAGCCTTACCGCTTCCACGCTTTGTAACCACTTCACCAGGTCCTCCGCTTTCAACGCACCCCCGTTCGCCGGCACAGCCGCCAGAACCCCCCTGCCCGGACAAGGCGCGCGGTGCGCTTTCAGCGCTTCCACCCGCCTCGCTTTCGCACCGGCCGGCTTTCCAGACTGCATCCACTCTGGTATCGCCCTCTTCTGAGGCCCCGTAAACGAAGGGGCTGCCGAGGCTAACCCAGGGCTTACCCCAGGGTTTACGACGGGGTTTACGGACGCTGCTGTGTGAACGTGAGTTTTCGTTCCCCCGTTTGTAGTAACCGCCGGCTGACCAGCAGTTCTCGCGCCAGTGCCTGCCCCGGGCAGTGGCGAGGGCGACCGGAAGTCGAGAACCGACTCAGGAGAGTCGCCCATTTTGGGTGTGCACGGGTTGAGATACCCAGAAAGGGGCGACGCAAGATTGGGTTCGTCAGTCGCCGGGCTTTCTGTGGCGGTCGGGACGGGCTCCCGGGCACTTGTACCGGGGTCTGCTGGCGGGGAAGGAGCGCCCGGGGGAAAGATCCCCGGGAGGTCGAGCTGCGCCTTTTGCATGGCGAGGACGAGCTTGATCTGATCGAAGGAGACCTGCGTGGGTTTGGGAAAAGTCGCGGTTGAGACTTCGGTGCGTTCGTAGTCACTTTTTCGCGGTGGGGAAATCCATTGGAAAAAGCGGTGCAGAGGTCAAGAGGCCTAAACGGGTGCGAGTACTGCAATCCGTGCATCTCAAGTTCGACAACTCTGAGAAAGACGGAGTGATTGCAAGGTTCTAGAAAATAGTCAATCGGGGCGTTTAGAAAGAACGTCACAACGCGAAGTCTCCGTGGCGACAGGATGAGCCACAGAAAGAATCATTCGCCCAAGCAAAGTGGTTCTGCAGAGAGAGAGGCCAATCATTCTGAGAAAGCAACGACGAAAATGGAGCGCGTCATTCACAAGGACGCCCCTCTTCTTTCAGGACATCTCAACAGGTGTGCTTGAACTTCGATTTGCAAAACTTCGCCGCCTTTGGAATCCCATGCAGCAACCAAATCGCACGCTGCCAGACGCCGTGTAAGGTGATGTCATTGCTAATGCGTCACTGTTCAGTTGTCTTTGCGCTGTTTAAGCTTGACAAGGGGCAATATGGACTTTTGGGCCGAAACCTGAGATCGCTTCGGCTATTGTCCTTCGATCGACAGCCAAAAGTTGACGCATGTTTATTGTTGCCATCCCTAGCGTCAATCGAAAGGCTTCTGATCACGACACGCACCCGAATCATCTGGCGGAAAGCCTCGCCCTCTCTCGTCTTGGGCTTTCTCAGGAACAAGGTTTCCGAGACCAGGACATTGGAAGACTGCAGGGTCTCAAAATATAGGGTTTTCATAATCCAAAAACATCAGGGTTTCATGATCAACAAAAACCAGTGTTCGAGGAATCAAAAGTCCATCCGTCTATAAAAGTTCGAGAAAATGGCAGATTCTCACCTCGTCCCCGACCAGTTCTTTGATGGGCGTCAGCCGTTCTTCGCCCACTTTCTCGACCGCCGCCAGGACCGCGCGCATCATGGCGACCGTTTCCGGGGTTCTGGGGGCCGTGTTGGTCGCCTCCATAAGCCGCGGCCAGTCCATATCGTATCCCAGGCCCGCGCACTCGCAAAGGTGACCGAACACCGTTGACGGCTGGATGGCCTTGGGCCTTTCGGGGGCGGTCTGCGAATACAAAAAACCCATCTTTATTTCACGGTTGTCAATTGTCTGTCTGTGGATAGGAATCCCGTCTTTCTTTTACGGTTGTCAGTTGTCTCTTTGTGGATAGAAAACCCGTCTTTCTTTCTCATTTGTCCGTTGATTTGCATGTCGGTGGATTGGCTGCCTCACGATCTTCGCAGTCATGCCTCTGCTCTGGCGAACGGTTGCGTTTTCTGCGTAAGGGCTGGAACTTCAGCCGCGTCGAGTCCGAGGGTCTGAGACAGGAGTTGCTAAGAGTGAGTAATTTGTAACACAGTCCTCATGACTTGACTGAACGGAAGACTCCTGACAAAACTTCTTGACTGCAAGCCGCAACAAGTAGGCCATTCAGCTACGAAACGGGCGGAACTTAAATGTACACGTCAGGCGAATGAATTTCGGTTGCAATCAGGATGAGTGTCCGCCTCTGCTCGTCGAAGAAAGGTGTGAACGAATAAAGAAGGCGCCAAAACATGAACTCCGATAAGGAAAAGTTGACCGTCGATGTGGAAAGTGTGGGACCTTGCTTGCAAAGCAACATTCTCGTTTGCAGACTGAAGCCACAATATCAACACCCGCAAACCGCCGATTTTTGGCAGAGCATTCAACGAGGCGACCCAAGACTCCACAGGGATTTAACCGGACGTGACCAGTAACGTTTTTACTGCTAATCCAGGTTCATGTAACTACGCAGTGAACGAGTTACTAACCGCAATCCTACTGCCAATCCAGGTTCACGTGATTATGTGGTTACCGACACACTAACCGCAGTCCTACTGCCAATCCAGGTTCTCACGTTATCACGCGGTTACCGAGTTACTAACCGCAATCTGGGCGAGCGTCCAGCCCTGTTCGTGGAACAGCCTCCACGACTCCTCCGCCACCGGACGTGCACCTGCACCTGCCGGACGTCCGGTGCCAGCTGGCATCCGCGCGCCGCTAGCTGGCATCCCTGGGGGCGTGACAGGTGGCAGCTGGGCGTCGAGCGGGAGCGCCAGCTGGCGGCACGCCTCGTGGAGGCCCGCCAGAAGGCGAGGCCCGTGCGTTTGGACGAGCCACTGCATTGGTAATTTGGCGTTTTAGGATCTGGTATGTCGACGTTTCGATTTGACAGAGATTCGATTCGGAAGAGGGGTTTCAAAGTTCAGGATCTGCGATATTCGGCGTCCGCGTTTTCTAGGGGTTGCACACTTGAGTATAGGCTCGCTGGCCAAGCAGTTTTGCTCCAGGAAACGGGACAAAAAGCTGAAGTCGCGTCTAATTGCAATCATCAACCTCGTTGAACGATTCTGCGACTCACGTCAGTCACCCCGACTGTAAGTTGGTTTAGAATGACAGCCGCAATGTAAATTACGACATTGCTAGCTTCCTACCAGTGTTCTTCTCGAAGGTCATTGGTTCAACAAGAGACGTATGAAAGATTCTTGCCCCAAGCGGTGTGAAAATAACCAGACGGATAGAACATGTTTGACGTCAAGTTTTCCGGCGCCCATACCTGGTTGACTCCGTCGACTTGTGCGAGTCTAGCAGTTGAGGACGGCCGCATGCGCACCAAGTTCAGGATGACCGGCTCAAGAAGCACCATGTACCTGCACACAGAGTTCAAAGCATACTCTTCGTTGTTGTCATTAATGCAAAAGCCCCATATCCCCTACTCCTGAGTATGTCGACTTGTTTCTTTCGAAAGAGAACTACATGTCATAAGCCATCATCTACCAGACTCACAAATCAAGTCCGTTGCAAATGTACCCAGCCTGATTTCGACCCAGTTCGGTCGTCTCGTGAGGTAGACGTCACATTTCGGGGCCTTTTTTACAAGTTTTTGAAGAGCAGCAAGGCTTGAAGCCTCAGAAACATCACCATTGATCAAGAGCAATCGACGCCGCGGCTCAGAAAGAGTCGGCCTCTTCTCCGCAAAGCAGAACCTTTATGCGTAGCAGAAACGTTTGACCAAGGTGAAGAAAGGGTTTTACCACGAGCATTCAACCCACTTGAGGTTCTACGTCAGCCTCTACAAGTTCGAAGATCGGAAAGATGCACAAGAGGGACGCAACGATGCTGCGCACTGATTCCGCCCCAAGCGCTCCAGAGGCGAGGCTTCACCAGAGAAAGGCGCGAGGCTTCCAACCCCTAGGTTTGTAAAACCCTAAGTTCTGAGAAGCCTCAACAAAAAAATAAAACCTGAACCCCAATCGACGTAACGAACTTGATTCCGGCTGCTGGCCCGGTTCTTTTCCATCATCATAGGCGGAAGCAAGGTTTGAAAACCCGTCAACTTTGTTAACGGTGAACCTCTGATACCTCGAACCACTATAATCCGCAGTAAACAGATTCCAACTTTCAAGCCTATAAAGGGTGCATGTCCGAGCCGCAGAACATCAATAACCGACTTAGGCGAGGTCCGGATTGCGAGCGCCAGCTTCTTTCTTATCACCAGCAACCGCTGAAAAACGGCGCCATCACGGGCAGGCACAGATATTGATTTATCGAAACCCTTCCAGACCTTCGCAATTCCGAATCTTGAAGCGGCAAATTCCTCTGGATTTATTCTTACGGCGAGGTCCGGATCGCGCGCGCCAGCTCCGTTCTTATCACCAGCAACCGCTGGTACAGCTCGATTTCCTCAGGAGACAAGCCCTGCAATAGCTTCGCCTCTTTTGCCGCAGCATTTTGCACGGCGACCTCTCTTGCTTTCCGCATACGTTCCTCCACGATTTGCTGCTTCATCTGCGACAAGATAGCGTGCATTAGATCGGGAAGCGTTTAAACATGAAATCCAAAAGGTTACAGACGCATTGCATTGAGGCCCTTGGGTAAGCTTCGCTTGAAAGAATAGACTTCCTGAAGACTTTTGCGCCAGGACCTCTCTGGCCTTCCGCATACGTTCCTCCACAATCTGCTGCTTCATCTGCAAACAAGAGGCAGGAAAGCTTAGACAAGCGTTCGGCTCTTGAGATTTCGACAGAGAAGACTTGATGCTCTGATGCGCTTGTAGGAGCTTCGCCTCCTCCGCTGCTGCGTTTTGCACGCGGACCTCCCTTGCCTTCCGCCTACGTTCTCCACGATCTGCTGCTTCATCTGCGAGAAGGCGAGTGAAAGCTTAGGCAAGTGTTCCGCGTTCGTCTTCTTCGCCGTAGCGTTTTGCGCGGCAACCTCCTTGGATTTGTGCAGACGCTCGTCAACATTCTGCTGCTTCATCTGCGTCGGAAAAAGGCACGACAACCATGTGAGCATCTTGGTTAGCTCAGTAAATCGACGCTCTGAAAAGCTCTTGCAACAGCTTCGCCTGCTTCGCCGCTGCGTTTGCCACGGCGACCTCTCTGGCTTTCCGCTTCCGTTCCTCCACAATCTGCTGCTTAAACTTGAAAGCTCTGATGATCTTGGGAAACGTTCGCCTTTTTCGCCGTGGCGTTTTGCCCGGCAACCTCCTTAGGTTTGCGCGGACGCTCGTCCACGATTCGTTGCTTCATCTGCGTACAACAAAGGCGCAACAATCACGTGAGCATATTCTTTTTACGGTTCAGAAGACCGACGCTGGTTACTTAAAAGCTCTTGCACAAGACCGACGCTGGTTGCTAAAAGCTCTTGCACAAGCTTCGCCTCCTTTGTTGCAGCGTTTGAGCACGACAATCTCCCTGGATACCCGCAATCGCTCTTCCGCAGTCTGCTGTTTCAGCTGCAGCGACGAGATGCGAACCAGTGACGTCAGCGTACGCGTCATCATAAGCGAGACCGTGCACGTGCTTCCTGGATCAGGGATCGTAGGAGTTTCCGAAGTTTGAGTTTTTTGGCGCATCTGCGAACCCTCCCTCGTCCACGAATGGTCAACTGTGCCTGTTCCCGACATGGACACGTGACCCTGCAATCGAGACATTAATTCGGCTTTTACTCCACAAAGGCAGGCATGGCCGTTCTGGCAACTGGAAAGTTTTACCTAGACGAAGTGGTCACGAACACAGGCACCCGGGGGACGGGTAGGGTTGGTATAGTGAGTAGGGGTGCAGAGCGCGCAATGTTTAAGCTTAAGTTGTTACGTTTGTGTGCACGAGGCATCCGAGTCTTAGTGAACACTCTGTTTTGTGAACTCTGCCGTTGCCATTACTGCACGACCAAGCACGGATCACGGATTCTCCCCTCACCTGCTTCAGGCTCATATACTCGCCCCCATTCACACTCGCACCGCTCTCCGCCCCCAGCTGTGACTGCCCCACTTGCGTCGCAGCCCCCTGGGGCGCATTCACACCGGCCGGGCTCTCTCCGCTCAAACGACGGGGAATACTCCGCGCCTCCTCTGCCTCGATCTCGGGGGGTACCGGCAGCTCGAGTTTTGGGGGGGTGGTTTGGCAGCGATTCGTTTCGTCGAGGAAACGGCGCCCGGCGGGGGTGAGGCCCACGGTTGTGAACTCGTTCCGCACGTTCTGCTCGAGGTAGCCTGCGAAGGTGAACGGAAACTGTCAGCCATGGGCGGACTTCGATACGCTGTCCGCCTTGAGGTGCAAGAGCCTCACAGGTCGTTGTTTGCCAGATTTTGAAAGGGTCTCACTTATCCTGATCAGGTCCGTCGGCCCCTTTTACATGCCACCAAAACTCAAAAGAGAGTCTTGGTTGATCAGAAATCAAAAGCACGCACAAAGACAACGGACGAAAATGTTGACGAAATATCCAGTCTGTGAACAACTCGTGCTCGCAGAGCCCGGCTGCAGTCCTGCTTCAATCTGCAAACGGTCGTCTCTCGTCGAGTCAGACTGTCCCACCTTTTAGTCGTCGCTCTTAGCGTTGTTGACTTCGACCCGTCCGATAAAGTAACATGGGGTTGAAGACTAGCGTGCTTTCCTAAAAGTATTACTTGAAATGCATCATACTCAAAAGCCCACCTGCTGACAAGAGCTGATCCGCCAGCACCTTCCACCACGTGGCACTGTTCTGCTTGCCCTGCCCAAACACTTGGCATAGCTCAAAGCGCCGCTCGAGCACTTTCTTCTGGCGCGACCCCCGCAGCACGTCGATCGGCATGTTCAATCCGAAGTTGCCACGTGTCTGCTCCACAGCGCTCAGCAGAAGCGCCGCCTCGGGCGCGAAATCGCGCAGCTCCGCCGCGTCGTTGGTGCAGTTGTCGCACGCGCCGCAGCTGACGTCAGCGGGGCGCTCGCCGAAGTAGCTGACGAAGAGGGGTTGGAATGTTGGTTTGGATTGCTTCCGGTGGTGGTTTGGCTCGAAGACAGGCGGGTTAGGTGCTCAGGTTAAGAGGACAATTGTGTTTTCCGAAGAGGGTGGGGCAGCAGCAGTCGCACGGGTCGGAGCTGACGGCAGCGGGGCGCTCGCCGAAGTAGCTGCGAAAGAGTGGACAGAAACATCGGGTTTGAATTGTTTCCAGTGGCTGTTTGGCGGGAAGACCAGCGGGTTGAACACCAGATTGAGGACTGAACAACCTTGTTCCCGAAGGCGGGGTGCAGTCATCGAACCCACTGCAGCTGACGCTCGCATACGTAGCTGCAAGATAAAAAGATTGAAGTTCCTTCAGTCCGATCTTCTTTTCGCCTTATCTCTCAGATCTTTTGCGACCGTGGTCAAGGTAGGTGGGCTCAGGGTTTGGACACATCTCGCAGGCCGTGCGAAAGGAGGAGGCTTTAGAACGGAGGATTATTTTCAGGGAGCGCTTGCACTATAAAACATTGCGCGGGCCGCAGCTGACGCCAGCGGTGTTCTACGCTGGAGCTGAAGAGCACCTCGAGATCCACTGCGCTTCATCCCTAAAGCGGGGCGGAAATATTTAGCACAGAGCGTCAAAGCTAGTACCGATGACGCTATCCCTCCGTCCAAAGCTACAGTAACAGCCCAAACCGCCACCTTGAAAAGACGATTACTCGACAACGCTGCAGATCGGAGCGAGCACGGACTTCGGCGACCGATATGAGGTCTGACAAATCGTGCAACAGCAAGGTCAAGTTTCTGACATTACATACGATAAGAATCTGCTTACCAAGTGACACCCAAAAACTGCTTATCATTCAAAACCGGGAACGTTAGAAGGACAACCCACCTGAGAATGGTGGCCCTTCGGCACCCCCCGGTCGTGCAATACCGCTGCGCGGCCGCAAACGCCTCCTTGACCGCGCGCGCGCGCTCCGCGGTGGTCGCAGAATCCGCGTAAAAGTTGACCCGGCTGAAATCGCCGCGCCGGTAGTACAGAACGCACTCCGCGTCGAGACCGTCGCGCCCCGCGCGGCCCGACTCTTGGTAGTAGGCTTCCAGGCTCTTGGGGCAGCCGTAGTGGATCACGCGCCGGATGTCGGGCTTGTCGATGCCCATGCCGAAGGCGACAGTCGCGACGATCACCTGGAAACGAATAGTTTTTTGTTGTCTGATCCTTGTTTGCCGCGTTCCTCCTTTTGTTTCTTGATATTACTCCGACTTTCTGTCTGGTTTGTCGACGCCCATGCCGAAGGCGATCGTCGCAACAAAAAATCTGTCAAAAAGAATTGCTTCGTTTGATTGCTTTACTTCGCGGCCGTCCTTTTGTTTAAATGGATCATTCGCTCCTCGAAACTGTTTGGTGTCTGGAAGTCTTTTCGCATCCAACTGTCAGGTCTTGATGCCCTACGCGAGCTTCCTTCGGCTCACATGAGTCTTGACAAATGAAAAAACTATCTGACCAGAGCAAATCTAGGAGATAACAGCTCATTTGCTCGCCGCTTCGACATCTTTATTATATCGACTCTCATATTTAAGAGTTGACCACTTGCGGACGTCTTCTAAGCTGAAAATTCAGGGCGGATGAAAGTCAAAAAGAGAGCGGCGACAGAGACCGGCATTTCGCCGACAGCTTACCTGCAGACGGTCGGCGGAGAACGCTCTGTGGGCCTCCTCTCTCTGTCTTGGAGAAAGCGACGCATGATACGGCAGTGAGTGGATACCTGCAACAGGATTAAGCGGCAGTCGTTTCGATGGAGAAGCTCCCTTGCAAAATTTCCTTCCTTCAATAAGCGAGGGCACAACTGAGCTGGGTTAAGCACCGGAAGATAAAGGGCCAGGTGCAAAAAGCAACTTGCACAAACGAATCCGGCCCCTGTCGGATTTTGTGGGATAGAGCGAAGGTAATGACAATTGGAGGGCAGCAAAAGGAAGAGCGAATCTTGGTCCAGGGTCTCCGGCGTTGAAATTAAACGTTCCTCGACAACTCAAATTTTGGCTTCTTCTTTAAGGAAGCCTGAGCGTCCCATCAAGTACTTTCGATTACTTCGATCACTTTCGATTATTTGCTTCCGCGCGGTTCCGGTTATCGAGCCTTGCCAGCATGCCAGGTTGAGTTAGGTCAGTGCCTGAGGGACTGCTGGGGTGATTTTGAAATTTTGAGTGGGTATGGGTCCGGAGATTAATCATCCTGCGTATGGGTAAGCATGTGTATTCCCGGGATTGACAGATGCAAGTCAGTGTAGGCTTAACCCAACGCCAAAGCAAATTGTGAAACAAGGGTTATGCATAACCTACCTGCGTCCTGGAGCGCGTCCATCATAAGCCCCACGTCTTTGATGGTCGGGCAGTAAATGATCGTCGAGCCGCCCCGTTTCATGTCCTCTTTCAGCGCGATGATCAGTTCCTTGGTAACAGTCAGATCAAGCGGTTTCGCGGAGTAGAACAGGTTCGGCCGGTCGAAGGTTGAGATTGCAATGTAAGGGTTGGCGAGGCGCAGCGACCGGGCAATGTCGAGCCTGGGGAGATAAAGTGGCAAATCCATCTCAATCTTGATGTGGTGGTGTGGAGGAGAGCGCTTAAATCACTGTGCGGTCGAGCGGGTTGAAGGAATTGAAAGGATTGGGCCGAGTGAAGGTTGACATTGCAATCGAGAGGGTCGGCGAGGCGACCGGTCAATATCGAGTCTGGGCAAAAAGAAAGATGTGAACTTTGACGACGTGAGATATGCTGTACGAAAAGGCGGCGGTTTGTCTGACTGCAAGGTCGACCGATTTCATGTAGTAGAATAGATTGGGCTGGCCGAACGTTGATAATTAAACGAAGGGGTTGGCGAGGCGACCGGTCCATATCGATTCTGGAAAGGAGAAAGAGGTATCAGCTTTGACGACGTGAGACATGGTCTATAAAAAGACAGCGGTTTGTGTGACGGCAAGGTCGAGCGGTTTCTGGTAGTAGCATAGAATGGGCAGGCCCAACGTCAAGATTGTAACCAAGGGGTTGCCGAGGCGCAGCCACCGAGTAATGACGTGCCTGGAGCGAGAGTAGTGTGCTTTGTAGATGTGGTGGAGCGGAGGACGGTTTGTTGAGGACTGTGAGGTCGAACGATTTTGCCGAGTGAGACAGGTTTGGTTGGTTAAACTTGGGGATGGCGAAAAAGAGATCTGAAAGTCGAAGGGAGCAGGCAAATCAGCACTGAAGACAAAGGAGTCTGGACTATTCATAGTCACTGGCAACATGATATAGCGGCAACCAAAGAGACCGTTACTTCGATCATGAGATCGAAGTGTTGGTGTACCAAAAATAGATCGGGCCAGGCGGCGCTCAGATTCGGCTATTAAAAATTTCGGGTGACAAAGGGACCGGGCAACGCCAGCCCCAGAGAAAACCAAAGTCAAGGTGCCAACAGGTTGTCCCTACAGGCCGTACCTGACTTTCTCGGTTGCTGTTGCAGTGAGGGCGATGAACGGAATGTTTGGAAGCAGCTCTCGAAGCTGGCCGAGCCGCTGGTACTCGGGCCGGAAGTCGTGCCCCCACTCTGAGACGCAGTGTGCTTCATCCACCGCTAGAAGGGAGATGCCGCAGCCCGACAGCATGTCGGCCCAGTAACTGCAAGGGTAGAGCAAAATCTTGACGTTTTGCAGTTCAACAAGTAATATAGAAAGTGCTGTTGTTGATTTTCTTATTTTTGGGGTGAGATATTTGTAATCTGCAGAGCGCTTCGCTCACTGCCAAATTAAATCAAATAATTCGGCCTAAGAATCATGTGTACCCAGTATCTGCAAAGAATTTGCCTAGTTAGATGGCAGTGGGCTTGAAAGACCATGCTACAATTAGACTGTCAAATATGCAGTGAGAATGAGGTTCAGAACCGATAGGCAATGTCGAAGGTCGATAGCAAATTGGCCCGTTAGCTGCAGGGGTAAAGCAGGTCAACTGAGATGCAGTGGTCCCTGAAGATAGGTTGAGTTACTGTCCAACAAAGTTATGCCGTGAACAACATGGACCAGTAGCTCCCAGACAACGTCAATGGATGACATTTCGCCGTGCATAAAGTTGGACAAATGTTGTCTTTGGTCAGATTTGTTTATTCAGACACTCAAATGGGGACAGAGGTCAGCACTGAAGCAAATCCCCAGCCTCCGAAACGGGAATCTCTAGTAAGTCTTGCTTTCTCTAACAACAGCTTTTACCAAGATACGCACCCGGGGTACGGGTGGGGTTAGTTACGTGATTAATGTGGGTGCTGGTGCACAGCACGAATATCTTTTGGGTTGGAGATTTTTGTCAAGGTGCCCGGGGCTCCTGTAGTTGAGTAAAATGCTCAGAAAAAGCAAGAGTTGCCAGAATTGGGTAAAACAGCTGTCACAAGGGTGTGCCTGATAGTCTCAATCTCTGGCCAGCATTTGATGCTGATGGGCTTACGTCATGGGCAGCGCCATGGCCTTCTCTGGTGTGATGTACAGGTGCGTAAACTCGCCCACTTTGGCCCGCGCCTCTACTGAGTAGTCCGCTTGGGCGCTCCCCAGAAATTGAGCCTTGATTCCCCTCTGCTGAAGGGCCATCACCTGAAAAACAACGGGACCACTCAAATTTGAAGGCCAAATCCACCTAGCCAACAAAGCTGCAGGTCGTTTCTAAGTTGAATGCAGCACAAAGTAGTTCTGCACACTGCCAGCTGCCATACTCAGCACCTTTGAAACCCCTCTGCATTGAACTGCGTCCGCTCGCTTTGTTCTCTGACAGTACTTAAGCCAAGAGTAAGTTGCAAAGGTTATTGAGCGGCACTTTCTTCGCACTCGTAGAGAATTGCTCGCGCAACAGGAAATGCTGTCTTTATGGGACTGAGGCATCCGCAGTGGATGACACCTGTTCAACGAGTTGGAAAAGCTACAGGTGGCATTTGCCACCTGTCACTCAATTGGAGTGAGGAGCGGACTGGTGCTCGATCAAAATGACACCTCAGGAATGCAGTAAGACACACGAATGCAGACGGTCAGTGACTTTGGCAGTTTCCGCATTCTGGTCCGGGAGTTATGAACCTTACAGCAGGCTAGTGACAATCCACAATCTGCAGGCGAGATGATTCGCAGGCAATGGAAGACAATCAACTTGTTGATAGAGCTTGTGAAGAACTTACGAAGCCTATTCGACTGCGGATTCTTACCTGGTCTTGCATCAGACTGATGAGCGGACTGACGATGATTGCCGGTTTCCCAGAAACTAGAGGCGGCAGCTGGTAGCACAGACTTTTCCCACTCCCGGTCGCCATGACCGTGAGACAGTCCCGCCCCGCAAGGACTGCCTCAACAATCTCCTGCTGCAAGGGCCTGAATGTCGAGTGGCCAAAAAAGTCCTTGAGAGCAGAGTGCATAGTACGGCCTTGAGGAATTTTTGGTGTTACGCCGAAGCCCCTGAACCCGGACGTAAACGTGGACGTCTGGGGTGCCATTTTGCTGGCCGGTGGAATATGCAAATAAGCAGGTGCTTGCGGAAGATTCTGAAAGAAAGTGCTTGGTGTTCTCGAGCAACCTCTATTTGATCCTCTGCCAAGGAAGGAAGAGCAGAGACGTATGGAGCTGGGAAGATACTGTCCGGTGATCACAAAGTCTCGGTGCAAGATGCAATGCTGCCAAACCGTGGAAGTAGAGCACCTTGTGCAACGCGTCGTGATTGCTGCAAACTCAAAAAGCTGCGCCGCAACCTTCATGGGGTCATCATAAGGCACCAGATTTGCAAAGGATCTGTGCGGTCTTGACAACCAATTCTTCGCTATTGGCCTGCTGTAGGCTTTCTAAGATACACAGACACGACTGGACCTCGAACAAGAGTCAATGGATGGGGACTGCCGCCATTGCACAGGGAGGCCGCCTAGGAGCTTACAACAGGCATCAGAACCAGCACTTCTCAAGCGCTTTCAAAAACTTGCCGAGCTTTTCTACATGTCCACCCAAGCTGCGCACACCTGCACTCACTGCCTCAGGAGTCAGGCTACGTACAGGGTTTGGAATTTAAAGGAAAGCATTCAAAACGCATGGCGCGAAAAGTTGATCTGGCAAAGCCAGCCTCAAAAGCCAGCGCGCGCGTGACACGAGGCATTGGACTAGGAGAATCGCGTTCCGGTCCAGATCGCGGATCCTGTTCTCAACCGGAATGATCTTCCTCTTGAGCCTCGACTCGAGAGCTCAAGAGCTACCTAGGTCCTGGGTAGATGGAGGAGGAGAGCGCCTGGCGCACTGTCTGGTGCAATAAGAATGGCGGACTCTGCAGCCTTTCGAAACAGCAAGTACGGGAGGGATGAATGTGAGCAGCAAAGGTGTAATATGATGGATGTGCCCGGCATTCGGGGCGCCCCTTGATTATCGCGCCCGGTTGTGCTTAGGAACATAGATTATTGCACGAAACTTAACCATGGCCAACTCTAGCATGTTGGGATGCCTCCGCTCGACTGGTGAAAGTAAGTTGTTTGCTTTTCCAAATTAATTCTCCTTGTTGTGTAGTGATGTTTCTAACCATTTTGAGACAGCAGCTCAGGTTGTGTCCATCCCTGCGTTTGAATATAGCTTCTCATATCAAGTCCTCGCTACCATGCTTAGAAACACATGCCCACAGTCACATTCTGTTTGGCATGGATGCCTTCTGGTGCTACCTCTTCCTCCCGCAAGCAGGCGGAAAGACTCTGTGGCCTGCATCAGAATGATCCTGCTGTGATCGGCTCGCTTGGGTTGTCTACATTGGTAGCTGATTACCACTTGCTGTTTTTCGTAAAAAGGCTGCTGTTGATCATGCAACTGCAGAGCGGTGTCATCATGGAGAGCCGGATTCCAGTTGTCAGTAGCTCTCAAGGCGGCTTGGACTCTCAAGCCGCAGCTTAAGTGTTGTTCACAAATAAAGCACCCCGGCAAAGCCAGGGATTCTGAGCTTATTCCGGGATCAAAAGTACTTGATCCCATCAAGTTGTGTCAACCCCGGATTTCGTTCGAGTTTGTCTTCATATACATGCCACAAACCTGATTGAAGATGGTCAACAATCTGCTTCTAGGGCACATTGCAGTTCCACTCTATCGTTTGTAGGTTCTTGACACGTACGAGGTTCTTAAACACTTTGGGCTGGTCTCAGCAGTTTGTATGTATTCCTCGGTTAGTGGCCTACCGTATTCAGGTCTTTCACACTTTGTGGTTTGGCGGAGCTCACCCGAACCAGCTCCTGGTTCCGAGCGTGTTGCTGAAAATCATAGCCGAACTCTCGCTCAACTCTGTGCTTGTTTCCGCAGATTTCCTGGGCAATGCCGTCTCTCCAGAGCCTCTAAGTGCCCCTTGGCAGCCACACGTGTCCAGATTCATCAGGGCCCTCTGCAGGAACTCTGAACCGTCCACACGCAGATGGCAGAGGCAGGTCGTTGCAGCTGCTCAAAGCAAGCAGCAATGGGTAGAATCCCGCTTTTCCGGAGGCTTAGATTTGTTTGGAATCAGTAGAGAGGCTATCGGCAACAATGAGGGGGCGTTGGGGTTCAGAATAGGTCGGGGGCTGTTGGTCTGCAGCGCAGCCCGGGGGTCGGGGCTACAGGACGCTCCTCCGGCAGTCACTCCGCAAACGCTTTGGCAGGTGAGGGTTTTCATGGGGCGGTGACCCCAAAGTCACGGATTGAAGCTACATGGTTATGTTCATCTGAACCTAGTTGGATCGAAAGTGTGGGTTTCTTGTTTTTCGGCTTCCCCTCAAGCGACCGGGCTGCATTCAGTCAGAAAATCATGAGGGGGGCTTTCCTGCAATGTGCTGGTGCAATGCGCAGGTGCACTGCGTTTGGGCGACACGTTTTGTTGACCGGCAAGCAATGGATCCAATGCCAAATTGCCTTTGAAACTTATGCATCCTCCAGTTGAACAGACACCTCAAAGGGTCTCAGCCATTTGGTGTCATCAAGCACGCACGCTTGCGAACAGCATTCTGACCATCTGACTGATTCACATGCTTCATTATGGCGCTTTCAATCTGCAAGATGGCGCCTTCTCCCCACAACTCGTGAAATAGCGATCCCCCCTGTCTCGCACAACCTCTTCTTACTTCCCCTCACTTCCTCCCACGCTGACATCACCACGGTTGGTCGGTGACATCATCCAAATGTCGCAATGCTGCGCAGGGCCTGAAACCAACGGTCTCTTACCTTTCCGACTACGAGCTCGATAGAGTGGAGGAGGGGCTCAAGGTGCGCAAATCACCTGTCTACTTTCTGCTTGGGTTTCACCACTTGTCCTCCTTGTATCTGACTATACGGCTGGAAGATTTTGTTTCTGTATCTGCTGCAGTGAGGATTGAGTTTGTTTCATCCCACTGACGCCTTCTGTTTGTCATTGAACGGAGTCCACCTTGGTTGGGAACAGCAAACCTGCTCTTCGTTTCCTCAATATTTGACATATTTGTCAGTCTTGCTTCTAGTAGCCCATGCAACCTAACTTCGGGGTCCTTGTCTTTTCTCACTGTCCCTTATCACGTCTATCTGTGTGCGTACAAACAACAATCTGGCCCGCGTGCTTTTGGATCAGTTGTGCCAGCTTTGGCTGCTTTCCCTACCTTCCGTACGATTCATATTTGTCCATGGCATGCCCGTGACATGGCAGGAAGTGTGTTGCAGGTTGCTTTTGACGCCCACGACGGGCAGCGGAGAAAGAGCGGCGAGCCGTACATCATCCACCCTGTTGCCGTTGCGGAGATCCTAGGACAAATGGTAAGCTCGCCATGTGTGCTTGGATTGCAACTTCAGTAGATTGATTTGGAGGAAGGAATTTACGCACATTTGCAGCATGAGCCCTCTTGAAGATCTCTGCGTCCCCTGGTTGTCAGCACTGTATGCCACAATGATGAGGGTTGGGGTTCAATGTTGAGGAAGTGAGTGTCGTGAGTACCTACGTTTTTGCGCTGAACATGTAACTGTCAGTCTGCAAGGCCCCACCCAAATAAGTTGTATCCATAGGGTGCGAACCAGCCGAACATAACAAAGTTCGAGTGGAGGAAAGCTCCATCTCGGTCACTGCTGAGTCTTACCACCCAGCACGAGGCGAGTCGATTTCGCACTTGTATAATGGGGTGGATTCTTTTGGTGTTGAGCTGGAAATCACTTTATCTCCCCCTCTTTTTCCGCAGCAAATGGACTGCGAAACGATTATTGCCGGCCTGCTCCACGACACCGTCGAAGACACCGACGCCGTCACTTTCGAGTCGATCGAGCGGCAGTTCGGGGCGGGGGTGCGGCGCATCGTGGAGGGGGAAACGAAGGTGTCGAAGCTGGGCAAGATTCAGCGGCCGAAGGAAGGAGCGCCCCCGCAGGACGTCAAGGCGGAGGACCTGCGCAGCCTCTTCTGCACGATGACCCAGGAGGTGGGGGCCTCTCTGGAGGTGTCTGTTTGACGAGAATTCTCGGTGGATACCTTTAGTGAGACGATTTGTGATGTTTCTTGTTTGTCCTTCGTGTCAATTGCTGCCACGGGCAGGGTCCTGCAGTCTGATACGATGTTGGTGAGGGAGGTTTAGAATGGTGGGTTTTTGTGGGTAGCAATCTTGTCGCTTGGCCGGGGCTCGGGTGTTTGCCTGCTAAACTTCCAACTCCTCAAGTCCTGCCAGGATTGTCTAGGTCTGAGGTTCGTTTGCATCCATACCGGACTACCGTCTTGAAAATGTGCCAAGAGAAGGTCGGTGTTAAAAAGCCATTTATATAGGAGGGAAATCAAGGGCAAACTGCTGCGGAGGCTTCTTCAATTGTGTCAAGACACTTCTCCCGGACAATAACGGTCTCGTTTGACACAAGGTCTGATGCAGATTCCTGTTCCACACAGGTCCGCATCATCATCGTCAAACTAGCAGATAGATTGCACAACATGCGGACTCTGAGCCACATGCCTCCGCACAAACAGGTGGGTGCAATCCTCCACAAGCTTTTGATCTCATTGCCGGTGTTTGCCAAACAACGGCTCTCGAGGAACGTTTAGATTAAAGTCAGCCGGACTGACTAAGCTCAAGACATGTTTCGGGACTCTGTCTTTTTCAATACGCAACAGGGTTTAAAGCAGTAGTACAGGAGACAAGAAGTTGCCAAGGAGGTTTTGAAAGTCCCTCTTTCTTTGATGCAACCAGGGGGTGAGATCCACTTTCGGCTCAATGTTGAATGGATTAGCGCCAGTCAGCGATTCTCACCTGTTCTGTCCCCAACGCAGCACTACTTTGTGACGTAGGATGTCTGCCCTGTGTGCTACAACGCATGCTGCAGACCCGCTCACTTTCCCTTGCAGCATCACATCGCCGACGAGACGCTGCGCGTGTTGGTTCCCCTGCTTTCGGTCATGCGGCGTCTGTTATATTCCTTTAAGAATGCTAACCCGCCTGGGATACAAAACACAGTACTCACCTAATGTTGGAGCGATACTCCTCTCAGCCCTTCCTATGACTGCTGCATCATTACAGTACGTTGCTTACACTCTCGCTCTATCCTGTAGCACTACATCGCCGACGAGACGCTGCGCGCTTTTGCCCCCCTCGCATGTCTTCCGGGCATGTACCGATCAGGAGCGAGTTGAAAAGGAGTTGTCATTCCTCAACACTAATTGTACGGGCATAAAGCAGGAACTGCTTGGATGTTCTCAAACTTTAACCTCCTCCGCAGCCATACATCGCCAACGAGGCGCTGCGCGTGTTTGCTTCGTCGCGCGCCTTCTGGGCATGTACCTCATCAAGAGCGAGCTGGAGGAGATGTCATTCCTCAGCACTAATTGTGACCTGCACAATCGCAGAAAAGACAATTGATGTATGTTCTAACATTCCAACTTTTTCCCACAGCACTACATCGCCGACGAGACGCTGCGTGTGTTCGCCCCCCTGGCGCGGCTCCTGGGCATGTACCGCATATTGAGCGAGCTGCAGGAGCTGTCGTTCGTGAATACTAATAGTGACCTGCTGTTTACATGTTTTCACCTTATCGACTTTCCCCCGCAGCACTATATCGCCGACGAGACGCTGCGCGTGTTCGCCCCCCTGGCGCGGCTCCTGGGCATGTACCGCATCAAGAGCGAGCTGGAGGAGCTGTCGTTCATGTACAGCGCGCCGCAGCAGCACGCGCTCATCCGGCGCCGCATGGACGAGTTGCGCCGCCAGCAGGAGCCGGCCGTCGCCAAAGCCAAGCGGGATTTGGAGGACCGTCTCTCCAAGTGAGTCATTGAGCCTTTCTATTCTGCGCTTCCCTTTCTGGTGCATCCTGATTTGTTAATCCGCTCTTTCTTGCATAGAGTAGCAGTGCTACCAGCAGGAGTTGCTGGCGCCAAAGCCAAGCAGGGTCTGGAGGACAGCCCCTCTTAGTCACTTTCCAAGCCTCAGTCAAATCAATGTCTAGCGGGCCGAATTTGTCGACCAATTAGTACAGGACTGTTCTGAGCCTTTCAATGTGGGATGGAATAGACCGTTCACCCCAAATGGAGGGTTGAAGTCTCTGGCGGGCTTGCTGGACTCTTCCATAAGGATGTCACGCTAGTCGTTTGAGGACTTGAAAGGTCGACGTTTGGGATATAGCGGCGTGGTGGGCTCCCGATGCTGGATCTTGGAATTGTTGGCAGTGACTGCACTGCTTTCTGGATCCGTTAGCTTCAAGGCAGGTTAGTTTCTCAGAAAAGGTTTCATACATCCGGCCAGTCCGAGCATTGCAGTTTGAACTTTCCGTCACCTTGCTTCAACTTTATTCTCGTTGAAACAGCCGGCCTGATACCTCTTCATTGCCTGCCGAAATTGTAAGCAAGTCGGTGGTTGACTGTGCTGTCGAATCGTTGCAGGGATGCGTGCCTGTGTTTGACGCACAGCTTCCGGGTTGAAACGCTGTGCAAGGAAGCCTACAGCATCTACAAGAAAGTCAAAGCGAGCGGGTGCGAGATCGAGGACGTCTGCAACATTGCCCAGGTGAGGAAACAGTGATGACGGCCCCACCATCTGTTATGCACTGGCGTGATTATAGCGTAAGAATTGTAAGAATTGGAAGAATTGTAAGAGAATGCGCATGTTTGCATCTGTAGTGTAGTGTAGGAAAAAGGGCTTTTGTTGCAAACGCTATGCGGTGCCAAAAAGAATCGATGAGCGGCGGTATCCAGACACTGCTTACTTGGAGCCAAGGCCGTGGTCCGTTGACGTTTATTCCCACTCTGCGCGATTAAATGCGCTGATAGTCGCATTGTTCCTCCATGTATGAAGTCCTAAAAACCTCATAGACCGCATCACCTCTGGGTCCCATTCTGAGTCTGCAATAGGACTTTCGCAACTCAAGCGCTATTCCGTCCTGCAGTTGCGCATCATTCTGGAGCCCAAACCGGTAGCCAGCTGAGCCTCGCCCCACCTGGCGCGACGTTCATTGATCTGCATTCCTGCTGTGACTGAACTGCGAGAATTGGTGTTCTCGAAGTCTCGTCACTTCTCTTTCCAATTTCAGGCTTAGACCAATCGCTTCAATTTCATCCCGCAGTTGCGTATCATTCTGGAGCCCAAACCGATAGCTCAGCTGAGCCTCGCCCCACCGGGCGCAACGTTCACCGATCAGCAGCTGTGCTACCACGTGTTGGGACTGATCCACAAGATGTGGACACCTGTCCCTGGTGCGGTGAAGGATTACATCGCCACCGCGAAACCCAATGGGTACCGGAGCCTGCACACGACGCTCCTGCCGCTGGGGGCCAAGCCGTTGATTCCGCTAGAGGTGCAGGTAAGATTGTTCTGGTTGCTTACAAAATGCTCAGTTTTGTTGAAGCTCGCTGGTTTACGATAGTCTTCGGACGGGTTCCTGAGAGGGAGAATCCGACGGTTACAAGGAGCCTGCACACAACGCTGCTGCCACGCCGTTGATTCCGCTGAAGGTGCAGGTAAGACTCTTCTGCTCCTTTCCTCCTGCCTGCCTGAAGTGTGACTGGTTTAAGTCCGTCTAAAGACCCGAAGGACGCGAGGTTAGAGCTCAGAGGGTATGGGAGCTTAAACAGGATGCTCCTGCCGCTAGGGGCAACGCCGTTGATTCCGCTTAAGGTGCAGGTAGGTTTCCTTTCACTGTCGTCAAGGTCGGCAAGTCTTTTAAAGTATTCTAAGGAAATTCTAAAAAATCACGATGTAGGAAAGGTCAACCGCTATTTGAGGGCTGCCGACCGGGCTGCTCATCAGCGCTGATTGTGTTCGCAGCTTCAAGTAAAAAACGCCACGACGTCCTTGATCTCCGTAAGCTTCCTTGAATGTGTTGCTACTGTTGGCAGTGTGCAAACCGAGAAGCTTTTGCAGGCTTAGGAAGCCTAATAGACACCAAACAGTGTACTTTGTGCTTTCGAGCCCGTGGTAACTTGTTTGGTCGGTCGGCCCTATGATATTCGTGCCACCATGCAGATCCGGACCGCCGATATGGACCGTGTTGCGGAGTGGGGCGACCACTGTCGAGCGGGCGGCGGCGGCCTGGTGTATACGGAAGCCAGTACTTCAGAAAGCTCGGAGGACGGTGAGTCTTTTGAGTTCATTTTGCATCGTTCCTTCTCAGAATCTGCAGGTTTCCTTCGTTTTGGCTTGGGCTGCTATGAACGAATATGCTGGCTCACCGCAGGAGCCATGTTAATAGAGTGCAACACCTCCGTTGTTTGAAGGACTCTACTCTTGTGATGTCAATCTTCTAGCGGAGCTCGACCAGATCCGGCCAATCTCTTTGATGCTAAAGCGTCCAATCCTTACCTAAAAGATATCGTTCACGGCAATACCTCGTTCCGCCAAAGTTGTGCCCGGCTGGGGTCTCTGCCCTGCCATCGAATAATGTACCTTGCCTTTATTGAATCGAACATCTTTGAGAAACTAGTTCGTGAAACACAGCAGGTGGGCACCACTCTGTGCCTCACCCAGTCTATCAAACAACGTTCTCACTCGCTCCAATGTCTCCCCCCATGCCTTCTTAAAATCCAGACATCTATGCAGGACCTCTTTGTGGTTTCCCGGGTATCTGCATCAGCAGTTTCCAAAATGGCCCGACTCTCCCACTGGCCGCCAAAAAAACCTCGGTTTCTCAGGGGCGATTATCCATTTAGTTTCTTTCTTCCTTTGTTTTGCACAGGTAACTGCAACGGAAACTCCCTCTACGGCCCCACTCTCCGCCTCGCCCGCAGCCGCGGTCCGGGTCTCGCGAACGAAGAAATAAAACGGCGTATGAAGTGGCTCGACTCGATCCGGGAGTGGCAAGAGGAGTTCGTCGGCAACATGACCGCGCGCGAGTTTGTGGATACCATTACTGGGGACCTGTTTAGCAGCCGCGTGTTTGTGTTTTCGACCAGCGGGGAGCCGCTGAACCTGCCGAAGGGGGCGACGGTGATCGACTACGCATACCAGAAGGATACGCAGATGGCGAATAGGATGGTCGGAGCGAAGGTGAGGGCGTGCGATGTTCCTGTTCTCGCTTTGCTTCAATGCGGCAAAGCCAGCTTGGGCTGAGATATACCACAATTTTTGAAGTACCTGATAGGGGGGGTGACGAGGATTGACTACGCGCAAAAAGAGGATATGCAGAGGGCGAACCGGATGGTCGGCGTGAAGGTGAGGGCGTGCGTTTTTTTGGGTCTGTTCGCTCTGCTGTGCCATAGTCAACTGGGCTTGCTTATGTTGCATTTTCCAAATTGAGCATCGGCAAAAACTACACGTACCAAAAGCATACGCAGATGGCCAACAGGATGGTAGGCGCAACGGTGAGGACGTGCATTGTGTCTATTCTCGCTTCGCTTCGCTGTGCCAAAGCCTGCTTGGGCTAGGGTATACCACGTTTTCCGGATTCCGGATAACCTGATAGTGGGAATGAGGGAATGAATACGCGTGTTCAGAGAATACGCAGATGGCGAAGGGGATGGTGGGAGCAAAGGTGAGGGCATGCGATGTGTCCGGTTTGTTCCCGCTTTCAAGCTGCCCTGGCTTCTGTTGCATTTTCCGAGTCGAGGACCAGCGATAGTGGGGGCCACGCTGACTCACTTGGGCGTACTAAAACGATGAGCAGATTGCGAACAGGATGGTTGGAGCGAAGGTGAGGGCGTGTGTTGTCCGTTCTCGCTTCGACCTGCCGCAGTTTATGCTGCATTTCTCGAAGCCCAGACTGGCGGGTAGGGGGTGCTATTTGACGCATGTGGTGTTTGTTTTTCCCTAGGAAGTGTCACCGTAATCAACGCAGAAGTTGGTCCAGAGACGGTGGGATCACAAGTTCAGCGAGGAAGTGTTCTTGATGTACCGATCTTTCATTTGCTTCCGGAGTTTGAACAGCTTAGGAAACAGCAGATTCCACTTGACCCTTTGGGGTCTTCTGTCTAGTGGCCTGTACAATGAATGTTACGAAAGCTAAACCAACCAATCGCTTGTGACGCGAATTGAAAGCTCTTTTCAATAACGTACTTCTTTTCATCTTGCGAAGCTCGTACTTCTCGTTATAACTGGAGAATGAGTCCCCATGAGAACTTCTTAAGTCTAGGAAGCCCCTTTATGGAGCATACGGCACTATGAGAAGGACCAGGTTGAAGCAAGTAACTCTTTATGCAGCGAAAAGCTTTTTGACCAACATGTCATCCCGTCTCCAGGTAAACGGGAACAGCGTCCCCGTAAAAACGGTCCTTTGCAATGCCGACGTCGTTGAGATCCTGGAGTACGAGGGCGACAAGCGAAAGGCCTTCCGCCGACATCAGCAGTGGCTAAAGGACGCCAGAACGCGCAGCGCCCGGCACAAGCTGACGAAATACCTGCGCGAGACGGGCGTCACGCTCGGGGAGGAGTTAACCGGGGACTTGGTTAAGGAGTTTGTGTTAGAAGACGGGGCGGGGTCGTGGTCCGAACTGGTCGAGAGCAGCTCGTCCGGGGAAGACTCGGACGGCGTCTCGGACGGTGTGAAAAGGCGCGGGGCCGGTGTGAACGGGCACGGGGTGGAGTCGTTCGACACGCAGATAGACGAGGAGGAGAAACGGCTGCTCGCGCAACGGATCGAAGAGGAGGAACGGCGGGTTAATGAACGGTTAGCGAGCAACGGGGCCGCATCCCCAAGCTCGAACGGGCGGGTTAAGGTAAACGGGTTTGCGCGGCCCGGGGGATCCCCCAAAGGAGAAAACGAAGCGGAAAACGAGGCGGGGGTGGTGTTCCGGGGGCATCAGCACCGGCAGCTGACGCAGTGGCACGAAGAGGGGGAGGCGAGCGTGATGTGGTTGGACGTCCGGTGTATGGACCGAAAAGGTGAGCCGCCTGCTTTTATCTGGTCGGCGAACGAGACCCGGTTCACAAAGAAAGGACCCGTTAGCATTGTCGATTGGCGAGACTCGGTCTGAAAAGGAAGGACCCGAGATTGTCAAGTGAGCGCCCGCTTGCATTCGGCGGAGAGGTCGTACCGTAAGCTTGAATACCTGGATGTCAGGATTGCAGTTTTGTGTCTGCATGTAGTCCAGAAACTTAAAAGAAAGCTCAAGCGAGACCCGGGTGTCGGTGCTGAGAATAGAACCGCCGATCACGTATGAGCTTCTCAATGTGGACGTCTGCAAGCAAGACTGAAGCTTGCATGATTTTGTGTGTATGAAGTTCTGATGAACTTACTGAAAGGTGGACTTGTCTGTCCATATTTTTACGACAAAAGAAGCACGAGTTACCTGCCTTAAGATCTGGTTGGGAAACGGAGGCCTATACGCAGGGGTTTCTTCTGCTATTCGAAAGAGTCTTCTGCTGTGCAGTAATTCTCCTCCCACCATCTTCCATTGTTTGCCCAAGTGCAAGCTTCGAACTCCGACCCCTTTTGATCCTTGCTCCCAGTCCCTAGTAGGATGAGCTTCACTTAAAGGGACGCGATAGTGGGTTCCCTCCCTGGCTGCAGCTCATCGAGCTTTTCTCTTTCTGAAAGATTGTCGTCAATGCAGTAGAGGCAGAACCATATCCAGGTTAAGTCTTCAAACCCTATCCATCACTCCGGAGGCCCTGAAATTGAAAGCCGCAATTCTCATCAATCACGACCGCAGTATTTGTCTGCGGCTCATGAAGGTTGACTTATTCTGGCCACAGGTCTTCTAGCGGACGTTTCTCAGATCCTGTCCGCATCCGGGTTCAGCATCAAATCCTACACCGGGCACACCGTCCGGGGGTACGGGATGATGCTGTTTGGGATCGAGCTGGAGGTCAGCCAGCAAACCAACGTGGACAAGATGGTAAGCGCTTCTGTTCTCTAGGGTTTTGCCCTCAGGAGGGGTCGTCGGGGCCCGATTTTGTAGCGACACTTTTGCAGCATTTAGTGTCTGGTTTTTTGCCGCTGACGTCCAATTTGTGTCAAAACCAAGCCGTTGCCCTCATGTCCCTAACGGAAGGGTTATGCATCACTGATGCCCCGTGAATAGCCAACACAGAACTCTGTTGCTTGGGTTTGAGGTGGAGGTTTACCGGCACACCAACGTGACCACTATGGTTAGCGCTTGAGCGCTTGAGTCCTATTCTCAACACTTGTGTTTGTTTGGTCGCTAAGCCAGCGAATCTAGTACCCAACAGACAACTCTAACGTGGCCAAACCGGTACGCGATCAAGGCTATCATTGATTGCATTAGTTGTCGTACCTTTAAGGACGCTGTCTGTTTTGAGCCCGGAGGGTACCCACCGATGGTTCATTGGAAACGAAACGGTGAACGTCGAGTCCATTCCTGGACCCCGTTTTAGTTTCTGCGTTTGGGTTTGGGATGCAGCTTTGCCCGCAAAGTAATGGGAATCTCTGGTTTTGAATCTTGCTCTCTGCTTTTGCACTGGAGAGGAAAGTGCGAAACAGAAATAAGTGGTAAATCTCCACAAATCCCTCGTAGTTCCAGGTTGTACTGTATCTGCTTGATGGAATTTTTGGTAGGCATGCCCCCAAAGGGCTTAAGACGGTATGCTTGGTATGGTCAAAATGGTTGAAAGCACCTCATTGCTCGCAGTGGCCGGATTCGTGCAGAATTTTGCATCCTGGTTGGTCACCCGAAAGATCCTCACATTGTGGCAACTCCTTCCGCAGGCGACTGTGCTACAAGAAGTTCTGAGGGTCCAAAATGTGACCGGTTGGTACATCGGTTGCACGCTACGGCAAGCCTCGTTGATGTCGAAGAGCAAGTAGAAAAAGCATAGGAAAACGTGTTGATTGGTCTTGGTATGGCTTCCCGCACGCACCGAGATGCAAACGTAATCCTCTGGTTGTACCTGTAAATATGAACGTGTTCATTGCTTTTGAAGACAACCATTCTAGCTTATGTCGCACAAGAGCGGTGTGTGTGCGGTCTGGACCTGCTCATCCAGTGGATGAATTGGCGTCTCATCTCATCATGCGCGAACTTGGGGTAGGATACTCACGACCGCTGGTAAATTTTCCTATGCAGTCGCCATGATCATTGCATGCCATGGATTGCCATGCAGTCAATGGATGCCAGGACGATCTGAGCCAGGCAACTGAGTCCAACTAAAAACAAGTAATTTGCACATTGATTCGATCTCATGCAAGATGGCCTACATCAGCAGCAGCTGAGGGGAGTAGCATTAAATGTATCATATCATTCGCACTAATTACATATTGTCGGTCGTACTGAGTCTCTTAATTTTGGCAATGATTGTCGCGCTGCGCCATGCTTCTGGAGTGGGCCAGCGCATGCAGGCCGGCACTTGATTACGTCGTCCTTTTCGATCCAAGTGAAACACTTCGCCGTTACACTGCAAACTTTTATGCAGACTGGGGCGGCAATACGTGACTTGACGTGTTGACAAGATGAATGCATGCCTTATAGCACTAGGAAGCGACTCGGAATCGAAAGGTCTTGGGGAACGCTGAAGAAAGTCACTTGCAAGTAATACCGTACAGGCTGCTGCATGAAATGTTCTCGTTCTGATTAAGTATAGTCTGCTCAATAAGTCAACATTGCAGAATGTTGAGTAGCCGCCTGAGTCGGAGGCAAAGGTGACTTCGCGGGCAACTACTTTCTGGTGGTGGTGCGCGCTAGCTAGATAGTATAGATAGTCGCCGGCCGATTTGCATGCGGATGCTGTATAAGCAGCTAGCCGCCTAGAGTACCTGAAGTCTGGTCAATTGAAGAATGATCAACTCGAGTCGAAGCAAAAAGCATCATAAGACAGACCCATGTTTAAAGTCGATGCTTCTTCGAAACCCAAATCCAATGATCCTAGGAGCATCGGATGCTCGGATGCTAATTGGTTCAACACCTGGTGGACGACGGAACATTTAAGCGCCTAAGTACGTAAGTATAGTCTAAGTTGTCAAAGATAGCCCTAAAAGGGACGAGTTCTAAAGCTTGATGACGAGATACGAAGAGCATTCAGGATCCCAAATTGGGTACTAGGAATGAAGCGAAGAAAAGCGAAAAGAGGAAGCACAATCTTTCCGAGCATTGAGTCAAGTCAGAACGGTGTTATGAGTTCTCAATCAATCCCGTGTACGGTAGGGCCGAGTTTAACCCGCGTACGCGTGTCCTCTGGGAATGGCGTGTTCTTGTCGCGGTGCGCGCGCGCCATATCATATCGCGCCTAAACCGTGACCGGTAGCGAGCAGTGCTTCGCCTTCTTATACCTGCGCGCAATATCGAGCTTAATCCATCAAATATTGCTATGAAGGGAACCCGTGATGTCTGGCCGTTTTCCTCCTCTTAAGCCAGCATGCAATTAAAATCTGAGGCCTCGTATAAATCAATCTGAGGCCATAGAAATGCATTCGAAGCTGGCTACGTCGGGCATTAGCGTACTGGAATAAGCCAGCTAGCGCCTTTTCCCGCCTTTGTGTCATAGATTCACTAGATAGATTGTTCCTGCGGCCTTTATCACATGCTGGTGAAAGTGAATCCTTATGGCAGAAGTTTCCAATGACGTACCTGCCAGTGGAGAGGGAGGAAAGATTGGGAATCGTAAGAAAATCTCGGTCAGGTCTTGGTCTTGTTGGCCGGGGTCTTCTGACTTGTGCCAGAGTCGCCGGACATAACATGCCAGGGTACCCGGTACGCGTATACCTGATGACCACTGAGGGAGGGGCGGTCACTCTCTTAGTGGTGGAATATAGCCGCGTCCGCTCCTTCGCAGCAAGGACCCTGAGCCTCGACTCGTCACGAAACTCCCCAAAGTGTGGATCCTGTACATTCACGTATCAAAACCGTACACACCGTGTTCGTGTACGCCTTGTGTACGAGGCTGATGCAGGGCCTGTGACACGTGTACGAGATCGGCATGTCGTACCCGGCGTGCACAGGAGAGGCATGGTGCTGTCCGTATGCAGCTCATGTACCAGAATGACATGCGAATGATGCAAGCTGATGTGGCCGAGTCCCGGCCGTGCCGAACTTGTACACGTTTTGCACACAAAACGTGCAGTTCTGACGTGCCCACTGTCCGGGCTGACACGTTCGATAAATAGCTTCACGAGGAGTTCCTACGTTGTACGCTTACATCCTTTATCAGACAGTAAACAGACTTCGTTCTTTGTAAGCAATCGAGGGCTGGTTTTTGATAAGGTGGGCGGCACGGAAACATCCATTCGATGCAACTCAGCTTGTACAAGGTGCAATGGTCCAGAATCCATTCACGCTTGAATCATTGATTCACTTTGATGTGGCACCTGACGCCGGGCTGAAACGGAGCCAAACCGGGACACATATCGAAAAACTTGCAGCATGATTTGAGAGAAGGGAGCGCCAGGAAGGTCCACGAACCGATTAATGTACAAAGGAGCCACCTTGCGAGCCTGCAACGTAGCTTCGTTGTCTTATGATTCTGATCAGGACTCGACTTTGTACCACTTGAATCGACTCAAGTAGAAGCTTTCCCCTGAGTCGTCAGCGAAATCCGGAGCTATGTACACCATTCGCAGGATGCTATCCAACTCAATGACGTCGTAGAAGTCTTTTTGCTGTCCACCGGAGGTATACTTCTCCCACTTCAATTGCCTGCAAGTCCTTGCATCGAGTCTGTCCGAACCGTTTGCCCTCTTTTGTACCTTGTAGTATCGAACAAACGCAAGCTCTCTGGTCTTTCCGTGCTGATCGACCAGAGAAAACAAGAGTCGGAGTTGCCCGTAATACTCTGGCCCTTCCGGGTCATCTTCGGCCGCTTTGATTGCCACGTCGTTGTAGTACGGCCGCTCATCGCTGAATGAGACCGCCGCGCGGGCGTGCATCACCGTCGGCTGGAAGCGCGCTCCAATACCTGGAGCGATAGCGGCAGCGTTCGCCACGTGCACCTGGCAAATGGTTGTGAAGCGGTCAATGAGCAAAATGACCGGAATAGATCCAGGTTTACAAGAAACGGAACGAATCTTGGAAGCCAGACGTGTCAAACTCAGCTCTTTCATTCAAGGGTCATCGCTTTGGATTCGGTTGCAGCCTTCGCACTCAGCCTTCGCACTCAGTGATGTCCTAGAAGTCAGTTAGAAACACGGGAACGGACTTCGATTCGAACCGGTCGAAGATAGAGAGCGCCGCGGTTCAATCGAAGGAAAAGTCTATAGAGAAATCTGTAAAGTACTGCTTCAAGTCCACAAATGCAAGGAATTACACTACTTCATTTCCAGGCCAGATTTGCAACCAATTCTTTATGCCTTCTGTGACTGGTCATCAGCTTCTACCAAAAAAAACCTACCTCGGAATTCAGGCAATTGGGCTGGTTTACTAGCAAGGCACCACCTCCTCGCACGCCGTGAAGCCCGCCCGCCAAGAAGACACGTGTACGTCGCTCCAGCTGTCGCAGCTCCGGTTGCGCTGCAACCCGAGCAGCAACAATATCGCGCGTCTCTGTGGAGCGGGGCAGGTCGGTGGCGGTCTCCACTCCGCCTGGCTGCAGCCATGCCCATTTGAAGGTCGTTCGGGTACTTTGAAGTGTGTGTCCGACAGCCAAGGCCTGCAAACAAAACTAATCCAGTTACATGGTCACGAAACGGACGCCGGAAGACTGCCTATCAGGTTGTTACCTGTTTGCAGGAAGAAGCTGCCGCAAAATGCATCCAGCGCAAGACCCACATTGAAGGAGAAGTAGAGCCGTGCACCGGGCGACGTGTTCTTTCAACGCCCACGTGGCCAGCGACTTTAGTGACCGACAAAATGGGCTCCTTTGAAAAGGTTCAGGAATGTTCCGTCACAATCCTGGTCACTCGCAAGAATGGTCGTGAAATCAACGAGGCCAGACAAACAAAAGCAAAGAGGTTGATGGAATGAGGGGTTCTTGTCCAAAATCTCTGCATAAACTTCGCTCAGTTGATGCAAGCGTCTTGAAAGCATCTTCTCAGAAAGCCAGCCAGAAATAAAGTATACGGGTTCAAGGGAGGCTCACCTGCCGGGAAACCACGGTCTGGTGCCGAACTTTGGGAGGGTCCCGCACGAAACTGCCTCCGTAAAAGGAAATGCGGTCCGATATGTTTTCCCGTCGTTGATTGTGGCGAACAATCTGCAGAAGATGCGAAGTACTTCTTGAGACAGAATTGCAGAATCACAGAATCCCAGAATCACCGCCTCTGCACATGACATTTACGTTCTAGCTTCGAGTTCCCCAATAGCATTTTAAAGCGACAAAGCCCTCACAGCACGACTTAGTCCTGAGAAGATCGAAACCGACAACGGTAGGAGGAAGCGCAAACGACCAAGCCTCACTGATGCGAGAGTGGAAGCAAAAGAAACGCTCAGCACGACTTCCCAGATGTAAAACTCCTACGGCGAAGCCGGTGATCTTGAGCGTGGGGAATCTGCTCACGTGTCAGCAAGCTCAATCAGACTGAGTTAAATGTCGAAGCACATCGTCGGAGGGATACGAAACTTACGGCTCAGAATCAGAATTTGTTCACAGAGGAGTAGGCATGTTAGCAGAAAAGCGGAAAAGCGGAAAGAGGGAACAACGGACAGCGAGTAGTGGTCCTGAAAACGTGGCCGCAAGAGCAGCGACTGAAAGGAAATTCCGTTTCTGCTCCGTTGCACATGGGATTCGCAGGACACCGGTGGCCGGAAGCTGAAAGGCCACAGCGAAAACTCCTCAAGATAGAGACGGCTGGTGGCAACTTCACCAGCCATCTCGGATGGATTGAAGGGAGCTCCGTTACAAGAATAGAACTGACACTTGCGGCGAGACCGAATGTTACGGAAGAGGTTCATTGCCACGGTGACGGACTTACGTAGGATTGCGTTTTCTCGATCGCAATGGTGGGCGGGAAGTCCGATGAAAAACAAGATCTTGAATTAAAGAAGGATCCAAGTTTACATAGTTACCTGTCCCTCTGCGTTTCTCTTGTTCGACATTCTGTACGGCTTTTTGGACGTTTGGCCGTGGAAGCTTTCTCCCGAATCCGTGTCCAGGTGCTTGAGCAAGCCGTTCTGCCAGATGTTGTCGGGATAGTGCGGGATCTGGTGGAACTTAATAAAGTTCCACTCGGACTTCTGGTATTCGCCGAAGGTATCAAGAGCGGATTGTCCGAATCTGAACGAGGAATTAAGTCCGCCCTTCAATTGAGGACATTAACAAAGCGTTTATGACCAGAAACTGATCATCAGATCAACGTTGGGGTCTCTCGGGAAGCTTCGAAAACTCGATCTCTAGGATGTCTTCGAAAGGAAGGCTGGGCACACAGAATGGCTGAGAATTTGCCGCCAAACATGCATTTTCAAATAGAGAAGCGTGTCTGGACGCACCAGTTTTGGCTTCCACACTGATCGGCCACTGATTGAGCAAGAGAGCAAGGAGCTCGGCAGGTCCTTAGCAATGATTGTTCAAGTAAAAGAGTGCTCAGAGAAGCGTTTTTAAGTTTCACCTGAGTCCCAGCTCTCGACACTCCTCCAGGCTCTTCTCGGTGTGGTACTGAGGGCGGTTGCGGCAGGTAAGCAGCATGTACCAGTCCAAGAAGCTGACGAAAACGTCGGTGACAGGATCACTGCCGTTGACTTCTTCGAACAACCCATTGATGGCAAAGACGAAGACCTGCTCGTGTTGATTGTGCGAGAATCAGAAAAGACAAATGTGACGCTGAAATGGTGCAAGTCATGGAAGACATGTCACACCGGCCCCGACCTCCTCAAGATATTTTTGTTGTAGATATAAGTTTGAACGTTGAGATCGCTTGTTCGGACACAAAAACACAAAGCCTTGCTTTGTCACAAGCAATCAACCATTCAAAACTTTGTGACAGCAGAAGCAGTGATCACAGCTTTGAACCTTGTTACCGAGCTTTGCGATCGAGCCTGTTTTGGTTACATGTACTTCTTGAAGAAGGGACTCTGCAACCTGATCATTTGCCCGCTTCTCTCCATCAAAACTTTTCGAGCTGAGACGACCATGAGAAAGATAAGAAATCAGTCAGGAGTCGGAGGTTCCAGCTTGTCCTAATAAAAGCTTCGCTAAAGTACCTATTGTAAACTCGAAGATGACTTGCCTGCATCACGTTGCGTTGCTCAAAAGCTTTAAATTTCTTCGTGCTTCGCACGTATCTTCCTCGGCCAGGGACACGGAAGCCTGGGAATCGTGGCATCGATCGAAGGCGGGAGTCGATAAGCCTGAGCTTGCGAGCGCCTTCTCGTGGGCTGTACTTGGCCTTCACGTACTCACGTAATGCGTTCAAAAGATGGACCCATAAGCCGAGATCGATGCCATGGAGTGTGTCGGGGGCGAACGCATTGAAGCTATTGCGAAGTTCAGATGGCACCTCTGGAACCAGATCCGTGAAGAAGTCCCAGAGAGGCCCCTGCCAGGTGAAAAGGTTTTCCAATCAACCCTTGCCGCGGTTTTGAATGTAACCACTCGCCGGTCGTCTTCCTCAACGACCCCTCCAAAAGTGAAAACTTCATCATTGGCTCCAACCTAAGTAGAATTTTAATTTGCAGACGGATGCAAAGCCTGAAGAGCGGCAACAACAGTCGGACAAACGCTCTCGACGGCGAGAAGATTTCTTGCACTTTTGAACATTTGACTCGTTTTGCGCCGGGTACGCCTGCGTTGTCACATTGCCAGGCCTAGCTTTAGAGCTGTAGCCTGTGACTTTCAAACTTGACCTATAAAGTGTGGACACTTACCTTCATGGCAATCGGAACACCAGCGTCCTCTAGCAGCTTCTTTGCCCGAGCAATCTCTTGTCGGTTTCCGGCCAACTCGACGGACTTAAAATGCTCAATGACGCGCCTTGTGAAGACCTCAGTGCGCGCTTTAAAGTTCACATCCAAAGCATTCAGGCGGGACGGAGCAGCTAAGCATTGCAGGCAACGCCCACTTCGCACAAAGGCAACGTAGTAATGTTCCTGAAGGTCGGCAACGTAGGAGTGCAGATATGGAAACACGCAGACACGCGCCCCATAGGGGTCGGTCATCCACACTCCCCTGCAGATGGGAGGAAACAAGACCGCTTCAGTACTGTGGACACAGAGTAGAGTCTCTCGATTGGCGCTTGAGAACACGGTAGACTGTCGGTCCCCCTCACACCCGTTCTGGTTACGTGTAGAACGCGCTTCACAGCCCCGTGAAACACCCGACAGAATTTTGATCAGCCCCAGGTCTTTTAGATGCCTCCAGCACTCCATTCAAGGTGCGCGCTGGAAGCATTGGATTTCTAGAGACTCTCTCCAGCCAATGTTGGACAGTCCCCGGGCTGTTGATCGAGGCTCTGGACAGCGCTCAAGTTTAGTGGCACGCTGGACGAGGCTCACAGCCCGGAGGAATTACCACTCTCCAATAGCCCCGGGCTATGAGTTGCTTACTAACTTGGCAGCGCGCGCTGGTCCGCTGGATCTGGACATTAGCAGCCCGGGGGAACAATCCTTCCTGCCGTGAATTGATCAGACATAATCTTTTTATGAGGAAACAGCCCCTCAGAACCTGCTCACCTTGAGCTTGCCTCCTTGAGAGGAGTTAACCAAAGTGTTAACTGTTGGTACATGAGGAACATCTTCCGGCTCGTCCAATTGACGGTGTCTCGTATCAGCCCTGAAGAGACGAAGATGCCTTGCAAACAGTCAATGGCCAAGCTTTACGGTCTTTGAAAGATTGGGTGCCCAAGTTCTGCTTGAATTTGATGGCGTAACTGCATTTTTTTGAACAGTCGGATTCTATAAAAGACAAACCGTAAGAGGAGGCTTTCTCAAAGAACATTGACAAACCACAGTCCTTGCGAAAAAAGACAATTAACATCATTCTCCAATCTGCTGGATGACGAGCCGACTTCCAAATTTTAGCCGAATCCAATCAGAAGGAAAGCGCACCATGCCAAAGTAGCTAGCATAGCAAATTGACCTCAATGCTTACCATGCTCTGGCTGCTCTTTGAGCTGTGCAAAGTAAGCTGCCAGCTCGGACCCAACTCCGAGGCGCCGTTGCATCTCGAGATCAGCATTTTTGATGGCCAGGAGCCCGGCCCAGCCAGATGTGTGCAAGTCATTGGAGACAGCAGTCTTGTCGCTATACGGAGAGACCGCGAGTAGCACCGCATCCTCTGGAATATACTTCTGAGACAAAAGACAAAACGCATAAGTTCGGTCTAGTGGACGCGAAGCTCATACCGCAGGATGGGCATTGACAGCCTAGCAGGATTGCGCTGAATCGAGGTCGACTCGGCTGAGATCTACAGCCTCCATCCAGACTAAGCACGCTACCAGATCACCAAGACATCGTACCATGGCCAACACCATGTTCCAAGTGACCCAGATGCTTCAGCAACAGCCTTCTGTTTGCAGATTACTTCAAAAGCTAGGCCATCGAAGTGCAAAAGAGGAGTTCATGAAGAAGGGAAGGACTTGTTTACCTGGAGGTTTATCATCTTCTCAGCGGACGAGGCATCTGTTATACAACGGTCTCCCGCATTGTTGAATTCTTTCCGCGCGCTGAGTTTTATATGGCCACGCAGTTCGGGATTAGCGAACATCCTTCGTAGCAGCTCAATAGGATCTTTGCGGCGGAACCAAAGGTCTTGGTGATCAGAAGGGAGCCTCATGTTTTCCACAATAAAGCCCTGCAACCAGGAACGGAATTATTCGAGCACCATGCCTCAACGATGAACAATATCAGCTGCGCAAAGGCTTGCTTTGGGAATCAGAGTGTCACAAAAGTGCCTCAACTTGAGGATTAAGTGCCCCTGCTTGTCAGAGAGACATTTTGCACAACTCTTGGTGTCTTTGCTAGAGGATGTAAAATAGAAAAAGGGGACTCTGAATCTGGTCCCAACACATCACTAAAAATAAAGAACAAGCTGGAGCTGACAACCTTGTGGAGTTTTTGAGCTGCAACATGAGCCAGTTCTGAGCAGCATGCGGTGCCATCAGAACAGACAGCTCAAAAGAAACAAAGACCTGCTCACCTCGCTGTCCACATGAGGGGTGTCCTGATACTTCCTCAATTCTCTTGAGTTTGAGAACGCTGCCCTCCACTCCTCTTGGTTAAAGTCTGGATGTAAAAGAATGCGCAAGAGCCAGTCTGCCTCGCTGTTGGAAGACCCGCTGCCCTGACCATTGTTTGTGAGGAAGTTTGCAACCTCCACTGAGGTTTTAAATCCCCGAGGCACAGCGTCATCATCTGGCTCAGGGTGCGGGCCGTTGCCGCCCCCACCACCAAGCCTATCATGGGACTTGAGCCACTCTTCTGGATCAAAAGGAAGCAAGGGTCTAGGAGCCTCAAAACCATCTTCAGCAGCAGAGAAGGGGTCTCTGTCCTCGTCCGAGCTGGATTCTGAAGCGGAGCTGCTAGATTCATCGTCGCTAAGCTCAAAATCATTGGCAGCTGCAGCCCCAGAGTTTTGTTCAGGCTCATGGTCTAGGGGGTCTGATCGGAAGCTTTGTTGATCTAAAGACTGGCTGGCTGCAGGAGGGGTGCCTAAGGGATGCACTGAACCAGCGGGCGCTTGACCCTGTTGGCGATCAGCAGCGATGCGAGCTGCCGCCTCCGGAACTTCTGGCCTATCTTGCACTAGCTGTTGTGGTGGGTGCCAGCCATCAGGCAATCCACCTTGTCCACATGCTCCAAGGCCCCGTCGATGGTTGCCGAGACTCTGAGAAGTGTCAAACTTTTTTCCACAAATTGGGCAGGGGAAATTGCTGTCCATGGCAATTAGGTCCAACTTCGGTACAAAAATTTAGCTCACATGATCAGATTCGCTTCCCGTTAGCTCCTTTGAAGCGAAAGGTGATGCACTGTGGCGCAGCATGCGGCGCAGGCGCCGCTGCCAGCAGCCTGAGCTCCTTCCTTATTGGGTGCACCCTTAAGGGCCCTGCCCAAGATAACAGTACTTAGCCCACTGCCAAGTCAGCCGGGACTCAGCCTGCTTGATTTTTCAGGTGTTCAAGCTTCAATCAACGCATCAGATTGGACGCATGGCGTCTGCTGATCTTCTAAGCTGCTCGAGCGCAGGGTGTTACTCATCCTTGGTAAAAGTTGAGTACCTAGTCTGAATGTCTGAAAGGAGAATGACAACCCAGGGCCAATGACAAGTGTACCTACAGTAACAGCTTCCTTCTGCTTCCACTAGCTGCTGCCACTGGTATCACTGGTTCAGTACGGCGTATAGGTACCTGTAGGCTGTAGTCTGAGGTAATGATCCGATAACACGAATTATTTTTCCCATTCGTAAAGTCATAGACCCGGATTCCACAGTCAAAAGTTGGGATTTCAAAATGGTTGATTAATCATGAAATGGTCCTCAGGAGCCCCAGAATGGCCAAGCTCAGATCTAGATTCCCATTAAATTCCATTACAAATGGCAACATAGGGCATTTTGAGTTTTGTCAAAATCAGCATAAATAAAGCCGCTTTTCTGGTCGGATTGTCGGAATATAATATGTAATAATAAAAATGGTTCGGAATCACCACGCGTACTAGGTAGGTATTGTACATGCATGACTCTGTCCCATGATGTCAGGCCCGGTCGGACTGAATCTACCGTACCTAGGTCCTAGTCCGAGACTCCAAGATCTGCCAAATGTTGCCATTGGTACCGGCCACTCTGATTTCACGTGCGCGTCCATCTTCATGAACGCATGCAAGCCATAAGATCTTCAAGTGCTGCAACCATGGCCTTCCGATCAAGTCTTGAGCCCAATCAGGCTGGCCACGTGTATCTCGTGGGACGTCTGAGTCACATGAGCGCACTCCCTCTCAGCCAATCGTGTGCTACTTTGAGGCAACTTGCATCTGCCGGGCATCTGCCAGGGCCGGTGCCGCTGCCTACCAGCTGTAAACAGGAAAGACTGAGCTGACGCAACATGCTGATCAATAGGGGATCAACGGCAGCTTTCGTTTCAAATCTTTCAGCCGTCAATGCAATGGCCGCCATGTTGCTAGCCGTCACAACGGCGGGGAAAAAGGGCGGGAGCTGGGCCTTTTTGAATCTAGGCGTGAGCGGCGTGAGTGAGCTGCCACTGCTTGCATTGGAAGTTGGAGGCTGCTTCTGGGAGTGACAGAGCAGGCTCTGTCAGCAAGCAGCTAGATTCTGATACCGGTACTGGGCATAAAGCTTTCTTTGGATCTTAAGCAGCCACTCAGAATTGCAGAAGCTTTCTTGAGGGGACAACGTCACCTACGGTCCAGCCCATCCCAACCTGAAGACATCGCTTCTTGATGGGGTTTTAGACAGCAGTGTTTTACTTTTTTCCTGCAGCCTCTCACAATGAGCTCAGCCGATGACGATAATCCCCGCATGATTAGGCGTTCTCAAAGGGAAAGGAAGGAGAATCGAGCGTGGACTCCTACTAAGCAAGTGCAGCGACACGACGTTCCCACTGTTGACCCTGATGCAGAGACATGTGAGGGATCTGAAGGGGACTCGCACACTCCGATCCGCAATGTGAACGCAAGACCTCGACGGGACTATGTTCCATCGCCGGGGCTTTCTGTGAGCACTGGGACCCCAAAGAGCAAGGAGGAAGAATCTGACGAAGCGTCTGGTTCTGCGTATGATGGTTTAGAAGATGAGGGCGAGGATGGTGTGCTTGGCGAGGCAGCATCTGCTGCGGACAAGGAGTATCAGTCGCTGAAGGCGGAACTGGATGCTCAGCTTGAGAAAGCTGCAAAGAAGAGAGATGCTGCACAAGCACGTGTGCTAAAGTCCAGCCAAGCCCCCAGCAAGAAGAAAACAAGTGGACATGGCGCGTCCCAGAGACCGTCCGATGCCGAACATCCTCCCAAGCGCAGCGAAAGAAGACAAGGTGAGCACCTTTGACCTTGACTATGTCCTGCGCAACAAACAAACTTCTTGATTTTACAGGACAGCTTGTGCTCAGCGCACAGACCATATGGCTCTGACTTCCGATCATTCTGCTCCTTGCCATGCTGCACCATTTTATCTTGCACCAGTGAAAGGTGCGGGAACACTCTGTTAGCAGCTTGCAAGGTTCGAGGAAGGTTCCCATCCAAAGTCTTATCCAGATGACCTATAATAGTTAGCAGTCTGACCATATGTCAATCTGCTAGGTGTGCTACAACAAAAGCAGGTGCTCAATGATGAAGCAGACTGTGTTCAAAGGTTAAACAAACCCTTGGCTTGTGAGTTGTCCTTCTTGTATAGAAACAATGACTTTGTCTGCTCCGTGAAATGAGCGTATCTATCATGTTGGACAGCCTTGCTGATTTGCATCTTGATTTCTCTATTGCAGATACTAGGCCCAAGGAAGTGGACCAGGAAGCGGCACGGACGTCAGCACTTGACAGGCGCAAAGGGAGCGGTGTGGACAGCGGCCCCGCTGCCAGCGAAGGAGGGAGACACAAAGAGCGACCTAAAATGAAGCCACTGTTCACTCCAGTCAAAGAGAAAGGTGACGTCATCAGACGCTACTTGCTGTAGTTGGCTGAAGGTTTCTGATATCTAACATAATCAGTTATTCGGTTGAGCTGCCACGATGGCATACTGTTTCTCCTTCAAATGCCGTCCCCAGGCTGGTTGCTTATGGCCACTGTTTGACCGACTTCTCACTTTCTTTGGCCTGGCGGGTCAGACATGGAATGCTGAAAACGCATCTGCAATTAAGCTTCCTAGAGTCGGGACAATCAGAATTCTGCTTGTAAGCACTTACAAGTTGCATCATCCCGACTGGTAGCATTTCTCCAGACCAACTATCTACTGTCCATGAGTTGAAGACTGTTTTGCTTTATGCTCTTGCAGCTTGAACAAGTAGCTTAGTAAAGTTGGTCTTTCATTTGCGGGCTCGAGATGTAAGCTTCTCATGCAGCAAGCCTCCCACCTATTCACGATACTCTGGCTTCGCTAAGTTCATCCTGACTTCGTGCTTCATCTGCAGGGAAACCAACTGACAAAGGGAGGGACAACTCAAAGCGCCAGCGCTCCGACACTAGGTCCGCGCGCGAGCTGGAGCTGGAGGAGCAAGTTCGGAAGCAACAGCGGCAGATGGTCGACCTCACCAACAAGATCAACTCCGCCCGTCCTCCGCTGCCTCCCGACATGGACAACCAGTGGAAGGGCTGGTATGGCGCGCCCCCTGGGTTTCCCCCGTTCTGGCAAGGCCCGCCTGCATCAGCCCTTCCCTCGGCACTTTCCAACGCCGCTCAACCGAACACAACTGGGGGCTCCTCAGTCCCAGCTGAGCTGGTGACATCTCCGAACCTGGTAAGCGGGCATGCCTACTACTGATACATGTGCACAATCATACAGGCACTTTGAGACAGAAGTCGGACACGAGCACGTCATGAGGACAATTGCATGTCCGTAGTGAGTCTGATCCGGTACTGTAGGTCTGTGAAGCAAGACGCTGCTGAAGTTGGACTTTCGATCAGAGAACGGGACGATTTATATGCCGTTCTATTTCGAAAGGTGTTGGAACGTTCACTCTTATTCTGGTCGACTGAACGTGGCTCGGTGACTAGCAAGAGCTCAAACTTTAAACGTTCTAGTACTGCAACGATCTCTTCGCCATTGTGTGCGCCATCGTGTGCACAGAAGCTCCTCACGGTTGGCGCCTGATCTTGCAAAAGAAAGTCTCGAGAACTAGGACTAATAAACATTGACCAGCCAGAATGTTTTCTTTAACTCGCGCGTACTGGTTGTGTGCTTTTGTTCCTGCTGAGTTATCATGTGTTCTAGCTGCTGTGAATCAGCGATCGACACAAAGCACGCAATCAAGGGAAGGCTTTGCAGTGTCTAACGTCTAATGAGTTGGGAGACCCAAGACTCCCGGTAAAAGAGATTGCGGGAGTGGCATGTATCAATGTTCGACTTTGCGAGGTCGACTGAGTCGGTGACAAGTTCATGGAGTTAATCCCCTTGCTTGTTTTCCATGATGCAAGAATTTCATCGTCAAGATCATCTCCGACTTCTATAAGAGCGCGGACAGTGGGGCGACCTTCTACCCGGAGAACCAGGCCTTCATAAAGACGAGAATGGAGAGGGAGCTGGCCCAGTCGCCTTCGGATCCCCAGTGGCAGAGGCTGTGGGCGCCCGGGGGTGCCTTTCAAAAGGCCGCCTCCACCAAAATCATCAACCAGCGCTCCAACTACGTCACCAAGATGAAGGAGGGCATCGTCCAGTTCTACAAGCCCCCGCACCATGCCGCGCGAGAGTTCTTCGACTTCGCCGAGCGGGAAGCCGCAGGTCGGGACCCATCTCTTGCGAAGATTGTCTGCTTCGTTTTTCCCCTGTGAAGTCAGGTCCGATAGGAGTACTTATATTGCTGATCGAATCAACTTGAAGAGTGCGTCCATCAGAATTATCGCGCCGGTTTGTTTCGTTCGACCTCGTATGTCCGCGGCTGATTGCTCTTCCCGTTCCTCCACGTTAGCCTGCTCCGTCAGCACTTGTCCGTTCGTTCCCGTCTTTTCACTCTGGACTTCTTTCGATGCTGTCCGCATCCGTCCGTTCTCGACTCGTTATGGCCGCCTGAAAATTGGAACGTAATCCGGAAAACAAGGACTCTGTTTCTTTCTAGGTTGTTCCGTCCCCCTTTCGCCTCTTTGTCTTTTATCTCTTTATTCAGGGCTGGCAACTATTAACCTGGGTGATCGAGCCTCGCATGTTACTGAATGCAAAGCAACGCGGGGCTCTGTAATTCAAATTGTGCACGGAAAAGTTTGGAACCTTCTGTCGACGGAAGACTTTCTGATAGTAGAATCTCTAGAAGCTTTCAGATCTGCTGACTGATCATTAGTTCCGCTACGGTGAGCACGCAGGACGTCGGGTGCTCCTCAGCTCGAGAGGATGAGTACTCAGTTCCCGGGTAAAGAACAAGGTTGAAATCTTGGCCAATTGATTCCTATTCCTCGGCGGTTTGATAGAAGTACCCTCCTTTCGATTAAGATGACATCACCGATCTTTGCGGTCACGGTCCACAAACTTTGAAATAGACCTTGATGAGGTTGTCAGATCGAGTCTTAGCCGTCAGAATGACCGTTTCCTTCTTCACAGGTGCCACTTACCGCAAGGAGCCCGAGCCCGGTTTTGATCCGTTCGGGCGAAAGGAGTTCCTGGAGACGCTTGGCCACACCTTCGTCACCAACTGGAAAGATTTGCCTCCGGAGAGGCGGACCGAGGAGCTAAAGCTGAACGTCCAACAAGTTGCCCTGGCTGAGGCAGTGGTAAGTCAAATTGGATTAAGTTAAGTCTCTTTAGGAAGTAGAGTCTGGCCCTCTCCAGGTGCCTCAGGCTTTGTCGGTTGGTTTGTTGCTTGGGAGGGACTTTTACAATTCTTTGTCAGCAAGGTTTTCCGCTCACATCCTGCTTTTGTAGAAACCTTAGTAGTTTCGAACCCCTTTCTCCCTTCTATCAGGAGGGACCCTTACCAACGTTTAATAAATCGAGTCATCAATGTCATCATCTGGTTCGTTGTTTGCTCTGGTTTCAAACTTGGGTATGCACTATATCTAAGTTTTCATGGCACCCTTTCTCAAGCATTCTCTGTTTGTCAGAGCGAATTGACACAGCTGCTAGGACCCATCTGCTAGGCATTTGATATGTCCTTTTCTGGACCACTCATCGTACAAACCGCCAACGTATTCATTGCGAGTCTTCTGCGGGCTCCTGTCGTGCAGCCGTGGAATCAGGCTTTTGCACTCCAAAAATTCAACAATCTGGTCATGGGCGGAACCAATAGCAGGCTCCAATTGAAAGTTGTTGTAGGCTGTCCAATGCACCAAGCTTTGTTGGATATTTTGTCGGTCTGAATCCTATTTCAAGAAAATCCTTTGGCTGTCTCCCAAACCTCGCTCGAAGCCTAGCGATTTTCGGTCGGACCAAACACTGGCTTCTCGTATTCTCGCTTTCATCCACTTGTTCAGTCCGTCACTCAAACGTGTCTCAATGTGGATGATATATTTCGACGGTCTGTTTGCTTTGACGGAGCAGCTAATGTAGAGTTTGCGATATATCTTTCCAGTTTGCGGTGTGCTTCGGGTATGATGGCAACGTCGGCAACATGAAGGAGCTCCCCAAGAATGGCGTGATGGCGATCCTGTACAAGAAGGCAATCGCTTCCGTCAACGACCTGAACGAGGAGTACCTGAAAGCTGCGGTCGACGTGCTGCGTCACCCCCTGCTTCGAGAGCCCGCTTCAAGGGTTCCACCGCCTGTCCCCAGCCGTCTGAAGGCCCTTCCCCCTAGCGGCAGCCTCCCGGGCGGCCCGCCGGTTGCAACCGCCCCAAGCCTCCAACCCTCGGGAACTGCGGGTCACGTCCCCCCAAGCTTTCCCCTCGCACCTCCCCCCGTTCATCGGGGCTGGAACGGGTCACAGGGTACGGACGGGCTACCCCCAGTCTTCGAAGATTCCCCGGACGACTGGCGCATGTCGCCGCCGGGCAGGGGGGATCCCTTCGGCCCGCCGGGCAGCTATTGGGGGAAACCAAGAAGCCTGTTGGAACGGAACTTCATGATCGCTCAGGGGCATCTGGTCCCTGATTCAGAAGCTCAGGAGTAAACGTTTTAGTCGGTCGGCCGGAACCTCGTCGTGGACGTCACCGGGAGACCAGCGAAGCAAGGAAATTGAGTATAGCAGGGTATATTTTTATAATGCATCTCACGTAGTGAATTCAGTCGGGTTCCAGTCTTTTGATAGAAGCTATGAGTTTATTTGTTAGCCGTCTGAGTTCTCGTTTCCAGATCTGAAACTGAGTAGAGCATCCGCCAGGCAGTACGTTGCATACCACCAGAGATACCAGAGAGCTTGCCAAGCAAATACCATACGTACCTAGCAGGCTAGCTGTAAGTAGCGAAGGGGGTGACATTCCTTATGTCTTGAGTCTGTTTTTGTAAATTCAATCTTTTCCATGCATTTTGCGCGAGGCGATTGACCGGATGCAGCCCCCGACATGTTTGGACATGTGTATGATGGACAAACTGACATTCTACGTATCCGATCCATCTTGTGCATTCATGTCACACCATTCTTATGCATTTCGGAGACTGGATTGCGCAAGGTGTGTATCCCAGATGCATGCCGGACGGAAGCTGTACTCTATCATTCTCGCACAGCTTGTGTACCCAGAGCGTATGGGCCAGACCTCCGATACCGTATGGCTTCTGTATGGTACACGTTCGTGTACACGTCATGTATGAATCAGCAAATCCCCGATACCCTGTGGCCTCGTGCACCACAGTGTACGAGAATGATACCGGAATGTACAAGAATGGTACCGGAATGCACCATGGGAAGTTCTGTGATAGGCTCTTCTAAAACCGCTGCCCGCCATTTCAGGACCGCTATACTTAAAACGTGGCAGCTCCTTTCTGTCCAATATATTCGTCTGCTTCATTAAAATACCCTCTGTTAGTCGAATTCACTGCGACTATGATTGAGCAGCTCACCAGATCTGATGGAGAGCCTCGTATATTGGCCTTACCAATGGGTTAGGCAGTGATTAGATGGCGTTGGTACGATACCATGTTAATGATATTAGTCAGTGCGCATGGTGGCTTATAGCGCTCACTGCAGCTCTATGGGCTTACTTCCTGGCCCCTCTACATAACCGGCCTGCATTTTCAGAGCCCTATCCCCATAACCGGCGTTATGGCTTGGCCGGCGGCTTCATACCCTTTGATCGACGCGGCTCTCTTCCAAATATGCTGGCCCCAAGTGGGGAGTGACCCCCGGCCCTCCCCACTGAGCGGGAAAGGAGACAGGCGGGGAGTGGGACAGGCCTATCGGAGAGGAACGAGCTGGAAGAGGGCAGAACATGTTATGATGTCCCCAGGCTCCTAGGCCAACATTTCATAGTAGCTGTAAGCTCCTTAAATATGGATCTTCAATCTTCTGTTTCGTTCTTACATTTGAGCTCCATTGAGACGTAATGTTAAGGGTTTCAGAGCTGGCTGGAAGGAGCAACTAAAAGGCATTGAAGCTTGAAATTTACACCGTGATCATCGGACCGATTTGGTCTGTTTGAGCGTCATAGATCTCAAGCCGCCCGAGTACAGACCCAGTACAGATTTAATAACATTCGGTATATATGTATGAGCAAGTCAGACTCCATCTGTATATGAGCCGCGCCAGCTTCTCGAAAGTCGCGCTTATTCATGCAGTACGTGCGCACGCTACTTAGCGCCTAGCTCGCTAGCCGCCATGAGGACTGCATATATGAGGAGTAGGAGCGCACCGCCTGCGTCAATCGCCGCCCGCGCACAGGGTTTCGGAAAGGTCACGGTCGGCGTACTGGACTTGAGCACGTGAACTATATCTGGCTGGAAAGCGTCTACCTAAGGGTTAAACCAACCAAGGTCATTTTGTAGTGAACCCACTACCGGTATGTTCAGTCCAGACTCCAGAGCCCCGGCCTCGATCGAGAACCGAACGGCCGGCCAAGGCCCCCCCGCCCCTCACGACTCTCCCGCTGCACTTGGGATTCCAAACCCCCAACGGTCAACCCCCACCCTCTGAACTGAACATCATAGGGCGCGCGCGCGCGTCAGCTTCAAAACGACCTTTACGCTTTAACCCTCAATTGGACGTTTCATGCATGGCCTACTCCAGTACTACCGCCCGGCACTGAGCGGCAGTGCCGCGGGCACTAGTGCCGCCTGCATGTTTGCCCGCAAACGGGAGAAACACTCGACACGAGTCGTCATACCCGGCAAACGTCAGGCGACGGAGTTGTTGCTCGGCCGACTCTACCGAGGGGTGTCGGCCTAAACATGGTCTACAGTACCGTAATTGAGGTACCTGTGTGGCAAACACAAGATGACCGGTTCAAGTGCCCAGCCGACCGACCGGGCAACAATCGGCCTGGGAGCCGACAAAATCGAAAGTCCGTGTCGAACGCAATTTCCCAACGGACAATCTGTCGGGAAACTATTCCGTACGGTCCCCTCACGGGGTATGATCGCAGCTCCGGATCCCCCTCCGAGTCATGACGACCATGTGCCTGCTTGTACGGACGGGGGATCAACGGGGTCTCGGCCGGGCTGATTCGGTTGAGGACGTACCTAACTCGGTCACTGCCAAATTCCAATCACACTGACAGTGAATGAGGCAGACTCTGCTCGCCAACTTTCACGAATTGGCTGCGCAATACAACAGCTATACAGCTAGCAGCATAGGGCTGAAAGGACAATGGCTCCGTAATCATTACTGCCGTCTAATGATATTGTTCATCAGCGCAATATGCATCCTGGTCAAGGGTAGTACCTCCTTCCAGGTTTTAGTTTTAAGTTCTACAGCAGGCGTGCATGAGAATGTTTTCTACTAGAGCTGGCTATACGCGCTCAACTTGAAGGGGTGCTCTTGAATGCTAGTGCTGAAAGTCGCAGCGGCTGGCTCGGCACAGAGTCTGCAGAGGAAACACCAGAGACTCATGAGCTGGCGCTCTGAACACATGCTGCCTCTTTGCCCAGATGTGGCAGTTTTGAGAAATTTGTGGCCGCTTATATTACATTGTTAAAACAATCCTACCATATATATATATCAGCGTTGCGCAATACTGAACAGCCAGACCGTCAGCAATGGAAAGCCGCATCGGCACTCATGCCAGGTTGGCGAGCACGTCAGTCAAGATGCTAAGGCAGGTTGCTGTTACATATTCCCTGCTCTGTCTGACTTCTAGTGTGGATGCGTTCTTCAACGGAAGCACTGGCGTGACCAGAGGGACAAAACCTTCAACCCTTCCAGGCGAGTCTAGCGGTCGGCTGCAAGACAGTGCATTAGCTGTATGGCATAGCAGGTGGACAGGCTGCGCTCATGTGGTTGGACCCCCCTGCTAATTTGCAGTGCATTGTGTTGTCAGCTCGGGGTTGCTTGAGACAGACTCCGAGCCAGTCACTTAATAGGGACAAAAATGACTTCCCAAAATGACTTCTCAACAGCATGCAATGCTGCAACTAGGTTGGCATCCTCTATATTGCTGTCGTGTATATGCTTCTAGTTCTGAGTAACATGGTGCAGGAGCTCTGAATGTAAGTGAGACGACTACCAACACTTCTTGAAGGTCTTCAAGAATTGGATTGACCTTCAAGAGATTGATAAATGAATCTGGTCGAATCCACAATGAACTTGACTCTACAACCAAGTGAAAGCTACCTTCATGACAGATGTGCAAGCAGTCTTCTTTCTCACGAGAATCTGACTAAGAACGATATAGCAGTAAACCAGGTATGCACGTAGAGGGAATGAGCTCACCAAGTAAATCCAAGGTTGTATCAGAGGGAGAGATAGACCGCATACATTCCAACATGTTCTCAAGTGGTCCAAACACAGGTCAGTGCGAGCTTTTTCCGGCGCAAGACTTCCTGGGCCACGATATCAACAACGGGTGCCGCAACCCGCAGCCGTCAGCAGCTGCGTGCTGTTCCAGCTGCGACAGCACCGCTGGGTGCGTGGCGTGGACTTGGCATGGCAGCGTCAACCCAGGCGCCTGCAACGTCTGGGGCGAGTGCTGGCTCAAGGACTCCGTCACTGTGCTCGTGCCTTCAACGGACTCCCAGGCAGTTGCTGGGAGAAGCTCTGCGGTTCCATCGACCCAAGGTACACCAGCTCTCTCTCCTTCTCTGGTTGCAGTTGAAGATTTCAACTCATTGAGCAAAAGTAGATTCAATAAGCAGGCGCAGAAGATTTGGTCAAAGCCATGGCAGAAGCGCCGGCTATTTTGCTGGCATAACCGGAAACCCATCCAAGCCGCAATTGGAACTCTGAAACATATATAGTTGAGCATCCCTGGCTTTATGTAGTAGCTCACTCAGCGTCATCTCATAACACTCTGACAGCCACTGCACGAACGCCGACAATTCGCCGGCCGCCACACCCCCGGCCCCCGGAATTGTGCGAAACTTTTCCAGCCAGCCGCCAGGCTGGCCCCCCCAGATTGGACTTTCAAAAATTCAGGAAATTGCACTTATTTCGAAGAATACGCCCCATTTTCGTCCTCAATCAGCGCATATTCTCTGTCCGTATCCCATAGGTATGTCAAGTCGCCTGAGTTCAGCAGAATATATTGAATATTGTCTTGGTTTTGGCTGGTGGGTCAGCCCGGGGCGCTTTACCCGGCTGCCGCCGCCGCCGCCGGACCCCCTGTTCGCTCGTCCTCCGAGCACTTCCGCCAGCCGCCGACCGCCCCCGCCGCCATTTCAATTGTCGGCATTCGTGCAGTCACTGTAAATCTGTTATGAGACCACGCTGAGCGTGCATATATGGGCTTTGGAATCGATACCATGTGTGAGGTGACACTTTGCTTGTTTCTCGACGCTGCCAAAGTCTCCTCCAATTGGAGGACATTTGAAGGTGACACTCTGGAGCGGCTGCACTTAATCAACATGGGCATTCAAGTTGGCCTCACGTCTAGCCCTATCTTGCGGTGGCATTTTCCTCTTTGGATTGAAGTGTTGTTATCAGAGAATGTGTGCATGTTCCGTTTTTATTGGGCTCTTTTGCCTTTATTGATTAATCACACGTTTATTTGCTAGCAGTGTGGAGGCACTACATCTCTTTAGGGGCCAACTATAGATTTTGGCCGTTTTAAGGAAGAACCCAAGGCTGTTCTTTCCTCGAGAGTAAACTGCAGGTTCCAAGTCTGACTTGGTCAGTCTTCTGCCTTTCTGATAAGGCCAGATTGACCATGTATTAAGGCTGTTTGAGTTGGCCGTAAGACTGGTCTTACTAAGTACCTTAGCATAGTGACCAAGCATTTAACAGTGGCCTTCTACAACAAGCACCAACTCCTACCGTCGGCCAAAGTTGACTCTGGCCCGAGCCAGCCCTCTGCTCCAGTCTCGAGCTGCTAGCTCCGTTCATGCCCAACTTCTTATTCGAATTCCATCCCCCAACAGAAGAAATACCAAGACTGAACCGTGTATGTTTCAACTTCGTATGTTGTTCCAGTAACCTCGTTTTCGAGCAGGGCGGCAACTGATCAGTCCTTGCCGCACTCTCGCTGCACTCTCGTTGGATCCTTAGTAGTTCTTAAAAGCCTGCGTCAAAAACAGCCCCGTTGCCCTTCGCATCCACAGGGACTTGCGACCACTTCCCCGCACAGGACTTCGTGGGACACGACATCAACAATGGGTGCGAGAACCTGCAGCCTTCTGCATCTGCTTGCTGCGCTAGCTGCTACACAAATGACCATTGTGTGGCGTGGTCCTGGCATGGGAGCATCAACCCATCAGCCTGTAACGTCTTTGGCGAGTGCTGGCTGAAGGACATGGTGGCTTCGCTGTCCTCCTCGAGCGACCCCCAAGCAGTGGCCGGAAAGTTGAAGAATGTGGTCATCCCAACGACTCCAAGTAAGCAGAGCCGGACGTGCTTTTCCTAGCGACTCCAAGAAAGCAGACTCAGCCAATGATTGTTGCAACACCTGCATCTAAAAAAGGGATCCTAAAGTGTATTCCCCGTGGGAGAATCTGCCTTAGTACTGAGTACCCACTATGGGAGGTTCCACTGTTATATCTAGCTCGGTTAGAGGGCGTTGCAACGCGGGGCACGTTGGAACTGTGGCCCCAAACGCGTACAGTGCCTTTCGGGTCAAGAGATAGTCAATCGAAGGCCTATCAAAGTCGGCTTAAGAAAGTTCCATCTTGATTTTGTAATTGGTCGCGGCTGATTTGTGGTCCTCTTACACTCAGCCTGAACTTTTGACCTCACAAACAGGCACTAGTCTTCCAAATGTGTTTCCTACTAAGGTGGATCAGCTATGTCCAGGGGAGATTGCGCAGATAGGCTCTGAGCATTTGATGGACCATCCACAGCAGCTTCTATCAATGTTAAGCTGATTCGTTTGAGACCCAGCGCTTTTTGACTCACTAAATCCAAGTATTTTGTAAGCTAGGTGGCATTCAACTCTAGAACCTCTGCATGCATCCGGACCCTCATTACAGAAAGACTTTTTTTAGAAGCCCTCACGATCCCGACGGCGGCATTAGACATGCCTGGGTTAGCATCGATCTCAGAGATTAAATAGAAAGTCTATTTTTTCAAGCGCACCTGAGAAGCTGACGGGAAGACATTGGCTGTTTACTTAGCTTGAATATCTTTGCAAGCTGTCCACCGTCGATAACACAAGGAAACTCTGCCGTGATACCAACAATATCGGTCGTTGCTTGCTTCAATTTGAATGCCCTTATACCAGACGCTGTAAAACAAACCTCCGGTGAATTGCCCCTTTCCTCAAAGATGCCAGTGCTTCAAAGCCAATCCTCCCTTATGACAAATCTGATCAGCAATCTGCCTAATTCTGACCAATCAAAAGTTTCATAATCCTGGGATAGCGGTCTCTATCAGAGCGTAGTGATGCAGGTTAGTGTCTCAATACGCTATTATCTTAGAGAACAAACCTTGCGTGTATGCTTTACGATCTCAACAAAGGCATGTCGACACCGTTGCGAAAATTGCTGCAATGAGGTACGGTCACTCTACAAAGCCCCTTTTAAAGGAAAAAGGGGTCTTTTGGTCTTTATTTTTTCATCAAACGGCAAGGACGTTTCTGCTCTTTCTGACACACACCTGGCTCGCGGAGGCGCGCCTTGGAATGAAAGTGGAGGGGCGGGTACTTAAGTTCGACCATGTGTTCAACACCGCGCCGCCTCGCAGGAAACCCCGTTATCCAGTGGGCCGGACTAGCGCCAAAGCTTCCTTGTCCGCACTTGAACGTCCACCTTGTTTTGCAGTTGGCTCGTACTGCGCCGCCCAGACGCACCTGGGCTTCGATTTCTACGGCGTCGACCTCAACAACGGTGCCCAAAACCCCCAACCCACGGCGGACGCGTGTTGCAATTCTTGCGAGTCAGACCCTTACTGCGTGGGCTGGACGTGGCATGGCGCTCGCAATCCCCAGGGCTCCAACGTGTTCGGCGAATGCTGGCTCAAAAGCAGCCTCCCCGATTATCCCCAACGGTCCAACGACCCTACGGTGGTGACTGGCAGGATGCTCCGCAGCAGTGAGCTTACATGTCCTTGCTCGTGAATTGCAGTTGATGGACAATAATCAGCAAGCATTGAAGAGTCGACTTATGACCGAAGGTCGTCGTGTGATGCGAACTCGAGAGGAACATACGATTTTCCTATCGAGGTTTACTGACGGGAGCCGGCCGGTAGAAATACATGGTCAGTGACGTCATTACAGGTATCCCGATCTTTGAGCAGCTCCAGCACGATTTCGTCTTGATTCTTCCGGTTTTACAAGTCACGAAGTCACGATGGAATCTAAAAATTATACTTTGAAGGGATCCGTCTGACTTGCATGGATTCTCCATATAGCAGAGCTTTCTCATCATTGTCGTGTTCGCGAACATAGTAGCCTCTCGCTTCAAGTTCTGAGTGTATGGTCAAACGTTCCTGGACTCGGTTCTTGAAACACGCTTGGAAGCCAAACTCAGCAACCTATGCGCAAAGATGAGCTGTCTCGTTTGTGTGGATCGAGATTCCGATCCAAACAAATTCGTTGACGAGTGGCGAATCGAGATGGTTATTACAGCTATCTCCCCCGTGACCAACATGACAATAGATATTTGCTACGGGCTTCCGTTTTTACACAAATGTGCATGCTCGGAAACCTAGCTAGATTAAAACTGCATTCCGAAAATTTGAGGAAGTTAAAGCTTGGATCACGCCATTCACTTTATGCCCTCACGCGTTTGAGAACAGTGTCCCACTGGCAATCTCCAACAAATGTCCTGTTTCTGTGCAGTCTGCGATGGCATTACCCCGAACAAATGTTACGATGCGGATAACGTCGGCTTCACTTGTTGCCCCGGACGGTGCTCAGCACAGACTTCTCCCGTGGCCCTCTGTGATTACGGCGACGAAAAGCCATGTAAGTGAGCGGCGTAGATTGTTTATATATAATAATTCTCGTGAGTTCGAGACTGTGACTCGGAGGCCTGAAACTCATGAAACTCAGGTTACTTCTCGTAGTCACAAGCCCTTTCCGTCCACACCCGTGTTTGCCAAGTTTTTGAAAGAGCAGCCTGAGGTAGCTTGAAATACATTTGCGCTTAATGGCGATGATGCGCATTTTAAGGATATCCATCAGACCAGAAGTTCTTAGAAGCTTTAATCTTCACGCTAACAACACGTCGATCCTGTACTAGCTGTTTCTAAGACGGTTCTGGTCACTTTGTGTTCATTGAGTTCGATATATGAGTGTAGGGGCGTGCCCTGCGATTGAGCACGGTGATCGTAGAAGCGATTCGTGACGATTTTCGACCATACTGTATGCGTTACTGTCCACTTTTTAGCTAGCCTATTGCAGGACAGCATGATAAGCCGTGCAGTACCCGCGCGAAATAGGTTTTCCTTGTCTTCCCTTTGCAGCCAATGACAGTCTCATCGAGGTGGAATTTATTACGACCATAGAGGGCTACGCCTTCTCAGAGCTCACCCAAAAGATGATAGATGCATACATCACCGCATTCTCGTCTCAAGGAGACGTGATGGAGGTATCGCCACAATATTCGTCCTTTGACAAGCTGACTTTATGTTTGAATCAAGGAAGCAAACCTCGAAGACCCATGAGCAATACATCGATTGAAGGATGACCGACTCAACCTGGTCCAGTTTGAAGTGGCCTATATTTCTATCAGAATCACTGGCAGACCTTATAAGCCTGAGAAACGGTTGCAAATTCCTTCGGTTTGTTTGCATGCGATGTGAAGTATAACATTGTGTACAGGAAAATTTGAGGGTCCTTGTTCCGTCAGGGCTGCGTTTGCAACCATGGATCGACGTCGTCGTTATTCATAGAAGTCTCTGCCGAGCATGGTTGCTGTTAATCTGACTGCCCGCCAATCTACCAGCTAGACAGATCAAGTGGATTCCGATTAGATTTTTGGAATTGTGATCGTCAAGCTTAGAGTGCCCAGCTCGATTGCATACAGCTGTGCTCCTGCATTAAGAACCGCGCAGCAGAAGTAGTCAAGGACTGTAATGGCAACATCATGAGTCCCTTGAACCCCAGTCAAGCGCCTTAAGATATTGATGTTGATGAAGCTGCTTTACTTCACCGAATTTTGGTACTCTAATGCAGGTGGCGGTTATCGATATCACTGAAGGAAGTTTCCGATTCAGGACAAGGATTCGGATATTTTCGAGAGGTGTGGGTGCCGTATTTCGAGGAGCTAAGAAGCTCATCGAGGGAACCTTCCGGGCCGGGATAAATATCATTTTTAGTGTGTTCCAGGTGCTAAATCCAGGAATAGCCCCATCACGTGAGTCTTTGAATTTTACGTGCTTAGTCTGGACACGGTTCTTGTGCTTCGTTCTTGTGGCTGTTCAGATCTTCGTCAACATGTCAAAGTTGCTTGTATAAGGTTTGAAGACGTAATAATCATGCGTAGATAGCATCCACCTATAACCAACTAGGTTTCTATGTATGCTCTCTGCTGGCCCCTTAAAACTGTTTGGTCACGGTTTTGCCACGCAGTGGGCCCCACGTGGCCAGCTTTCAGCAAGATGAAACCAGGTCTGATGATTCTGCATGAATGATTCTGTGGATTCTGTTTCAGCGCTCTGAACTCCGCGATGTACTTGCAGCAATTTGCGAAGAGGAATGCCCCTACCGCAACCGACAAGGAGATCTTGTCTGCAAGAATATGTGTACGGGTGGCGGGCAATTGTGTCCCACATATCCGGCAGATCCAAACGGCTGCGGCACGAGCACTGGTAAGCTACTGGGTTCATTGTTTCCATGCTGCAACAGTTAAGATTTTAGGGTACGCAGAGATTGCAAGGTTCTTTAGGATTCAACAAGACGGTCAACCTTCAAGCTAGGCGTCCCGACAACGACTTTTGTCGACTCTGCTTTAAAAGCCACAAGCGGTTCAATCGTAGTATAAGGTGGACGTCCCAGGCCGGCCCAAGCTAGGTCGTTCTTGCTTCCCTCGTGGTGGTACGTAGATACGTACCGGCCAGAATATCAGCAGTATCGCCGAGCGGCTTGCTTTTCCATCGAACTTATTTAGTTTCGCAGGTTAACACCGTGACACAAGTTCATCCACGATATTGCTTAGTATCTCCATATTGCTTTCGCATTTTTTACCACTTCATTTCCTTCAACATTGCGTCCCGTTCAATTTTTGATTGTGGAATCAACTTGCAACTCGGAAAGCAGGGCTCGAGCTTACGTATTTACTTGACCTGTTCACCTTGGTTAGATAAGAACGTGCACTGTCACTTCGCACCTGGATTCAATCGTCCAAACCAGGCTGTAGTAGGTGGGATGAGTTCTTTCGGTGAGGGGAGCCTCAATAAAATTAGCGGGTCAAAAAGTTTGGATCGAAAGATAAGGGGCAATCCTAGAACTCGGATATTGATCTCAGGATTCCATGGATCTTCGTACGGTTACTTGGAACTGTAGATCCACGGGTTTTGAAATCTTCAAACTTGTCTCCAAATTCCAGCAAATTCAAGTTGTGACGCATAGGGCGCCTTGGCGAACCGGAGGCAAACAGGGGCAGAACCGGAGCATTCCGCTCCGGAAAAATGGCGGACGAACCGGAGCTGGGCCCCGGTTTGAGGCCGGTTCGGAGTGAACAGGAACCGGTTCTTGCAAATCGGAGCCGATTCTCAGAACCGGTTCCTATTCTTCGCAAACCGGCCTCAAACCAGAGCCTAGCTCCGGTTCGTCCGCCACTTCTCCGGAGCGGAATGCTCCGGTTCGGCCCCGGTTCAGCTCCTGTTTGCAGCCAAAGCTCCCAGGCTGTGCCGAGCTCGATCAGACTCATTAAGCTAGCTCACGATGAATAGGACCTAGACGACCGATGACTCAAACTCGATAGCGACGACGTTGACTCTAGTAATCTCCTCCGGCCCGCCTTCAATCCGCGTAGTATTGTCTTTGTCTGACATTGGCACGTGGTTTGCAGGGATTGGACCTATCGTCCAACCAATAGTCGATTTTGTGGCAGCAAATAGTGGTCAATATGCCAGCTCCTACTTTCAAAACGCATGTGATCATCATGATATATGTTACGGGTCGCCAGGGAAGAGCCAAGAAAACTGCGATCGCGAGTTGCAGTTGCGCTTTCAAGGTGCTTGTGCCGAAGCGTATCCAATATCTTCTTTGCCACTTTTCATCACTAATGGATACTTTCGCACCAAATGCCTGGGCATCGCAGTTATCATGGCGACTAGTTTGAGGTAAGCGATAGTTACTTTTCGTGCCCAACTAAGCTCTTTGATGCTCAGATCTACTAGACAGGAATGTGACGTCCGGTGAACGGCCTAGCTTAGGGCCGTCTCTTAAGTTCACCTGTAATTGAATGATCACTCATTGGTTAAATAGAGCCTTATCAGTGATACGGCCTACTTTCTGAAAGAGAAGTTTCATTACGAATCGGAAGAATCATTGAATCGAAAATCAGGCAGTGTACCGCAAGGGCTCTGCGAATCTGTGTTGAAATTGTTCAATCTTGCAGGATTGGTGGCACTTCTGCACACAGTAATGGACAAGATCTCACAAAGACTTTCTACACTTCCCAGTAAGTCCATTATTTATGCAATCTGATTCATGCAGAACGTTTTCCTTTGCCTCTGGCCTGGTAGCCTCGCGGTGTCGTAGGCCGGGAGCATATTACACCATGGTGTAGTATAGTAGCTCTTCATCTGGTAATGATACATAAGAGACGTCTTTAATGCCGATGATGGGTAGATTTAATCATGTCGTTTGTATATGCTAAACGATTTTGATAAGCAATATGCATGTCTCAGACCAATGACGTGATTGACGTGATTTACACGAGTTACTGATCCGTGCAAGTGCCAGACTATATTGCAGGAACCTTGGCCTGGATGTGGAACGGCTTAATTAAGAACATTCTAGGACTTGAAGGTCTTCATAAATCGAAACTCTCAATGGCACTTTTAGCGGCCTCAATTGGACTTCCCACACTTTATCTTTTTGAAATCTAATGATGCTTGTTGTACGGATACCCGAATCGCTAACATTATATCTCTCCTTGTATTCTTTTCTAGTTGCACAGCACCAACAAGCCCACGCGTCTGCTTTGGTGCCGAGGTCGAAAAAGGGGTAGCAATTCTTGAATTTCGCCCCGATTTCATTCGTACCAATGCTACATCAGAGTGCCCTGGGGACTCTTATGTGTGTATTGATACCTATCAGTCGGCCACAAGGTTTGACGGTTTAGAAGCTGCATCGGATGAAAGGTACAACGGCACCCTTTACGAGTTCTACTCACCGGCGTTCGTTGGGCTTACCAACAGATTCGTCGGGATCTTTGCCGGTAGACTTGGCCTGATCTGCAACAACATCACTACTCCGCAGCCATATGGAGCTCAAGTCAAGGCAATATTCTGTCAGTGTTTGGGGATCGGGCCTTCTTGAAAATTGCAACAACTGCATGTGGACACGTGGACAAGTGAACTTTCAACAATTTCCGTTGGATTTGTCGTAGGCTCTCGGATGTCTAGGGCTGGGTTAAAGGTTCGAACTGTAACGTCTATAGCCTCGCACTGACTCAGCCTCCAGTCCAACCCTCTTATGCGCCGGGCAGTGTGTCCAAGTCGGTGTCAGGGTGGAGTGGAGCCAGTGGAGAACATTGGAACCGTTCAAGATGGCCTAGGGTGCTGAATCGAGCAGTGTACATAGTATTCTATGTGGGCTGTACATATTTGTTACTGGTGCATACATGTAGACTCTATGCTTTCAATGTTTTCACGTGGAGACCGACTCGGACGTCGGAAACAATGATTAGCATTGCGGGTTAAAGTCCACGTGCATGGAGAGAAGGAGGAGGAGGCACGAGCCTCGGAGAACGTCGGAGAAAGAAACTTTGAGTAATGTACGTTAGGGCTGCATTGTAGTTCGAAGAATAGGTATTGGAAAACTAAGCCTAAAAGTATGTATGTCCAGAGATTCCATTTTTGTTTGAATCTCTTGAAAGTTGAGCAGGAAGTAGAAAGGTAGGAAAGACTTGGACATGAGAATATCCCCTTGCAAATGCAAAGGTAGATCCAAACGAGCTGCCTTGCGCCTTTTTTCTGATCGTTCACTGATTACGGTGCCGACGTGATCGTCGCACTGGCAAACGTACCGTTGCCAGCTGCTCGCTTGATGTCACGTCTTGAAGTCCGAAGCAGTTCAAAACTTAACATCTGCATTGCTAGATTGAATGAAAAGTTGCATCCGACACAAAGCGCGCCGAGCTGATCAAATCAATTTAAGTTACATAGAAGTCGGGCCGCATTGGGCGGCCCGGCCATGCACGGGCAGGCCGGCCCGATCATGCAACCGGACTCGAAATACTTGATCGCCAGCGGTTCTAGGGCAAGTGATCGTCGATCGAGTTATGGCCATAGACGGTCGATCGCAATTGTCTCAGTATAATCTCGATTGAGTTTATCTATTGGCCAACTGTGTAACGTCGGACATGCAAATCGTATAGGCGGTCACTCCGTGCACTTGACGTACGCATTACTTAGTAGCTAGAAGGTATAAATGTATTCAAGAGTAACTTCGGTTTCAATCAGCTCATGCTATACGTTTGCCAGGCACGGGCCAGATGTTGGCCGATCATCGATCAGCGCAACACGCGCCGTTAGTACCGTCCGTCCGATCGCTGTCACTATCATTGCACCACTACCGTACGTACTCCGTGTATCATTGATGGTGTCGGATTCACATTGGGTGACTCACATCTGCAAAGGTACGGTATCGTCGTATTTGTTTGCGTCAGATCAAGACTGAGATTCATAATACCCCAGTTTGCGGAGAAAATACACTGTTGCGGTACGTGCGGGACTCTGCGACCTGGGGGCTAGCCGCACGCACAGTCCTCTATTCTGTGTCCGAGTTCGGATGAGTCCGACTCAGCGATTGTTTGATTATCCTAGACGTCACTCCCCATCCATATACTAGAAAAGTACACGAAGCGTGCTAGTGCACAACATTCAACCCTGTCAAGCTCGCTTAATGAAGGATTCACGGCAAATACACTTCTTATTGCATGTGCCCTCCTCTACCCCCTAGCTGCCCCAAGTTCTCTTCCGGTTGGTGACTCAAGTGACCCTATCGAATCCCTATATAAAATACCCACCACGTGCATGCCACTACCATCTTCCGTTTCAGGCTACCGGGGAAGCTTTGCTGAGAAGAACCAGCAGACTTGAGGCGCTATCTTATGTCAATTGTCTCTACACAGAGCTTGATGCGCCGCGCTCTTTGAAGACTGTCGAGAAGGAGGCTCTCCGACTCAACCACCCGTTCCCGCTCGCTGATCTCCCGTGCAATTTCGGCGAGCAAGAGGGCCCTGCGTGAGTCCTCTTGTGCCTCATCAAGCGCCAACTCCTCGGATTTTTGCTTGCCGGGTGAACCCCGGCCTTTCCTCTTGTTTCTCGGCTTTGTTAGTGCGAAGCTAGAGGGAACGAGGGCCACGGAACGTGTTGCACGCTTTCGGCCTTTCCTGGGTTTCGACAGGGTGGGCGCATTCGCGGGAGGACAACATTTGGGGGACAGTTGTCCCTCCTCCAAAGACGTGCCAAGGCCCGTGAGCCCGAACAACGCCATGTCGCGGTCGATGAAGGACGTTGACATCGTGGGGCTGTCCAAATCTGGCGTAAGGACGGGAAAGCGAGGGTGAGAAATGGAAATTTTTGGAGTGCAACCAACTGATAGCTGAGTAGTTCGGCTCGGGGGTAGCTTTCCACTGCTGGATTGATATCAAGTACCCGCTTCTGGCCGGGTTTTTGCAAGGAACTGGACGTTCAGAGATTGACAATCGATCAAAGCAAAAACTAAGAAAGCTACGTTTATGTCACCTGTTCAAGATGCATGAGAAGGACACACCAGGAGCTCTTTGCCTTCTTTCTCGTCTTTCTCTCAGATAACGGTGCCTTTTATTAGCGCCTCCCATAAAAGGACTTACGATAGTAGATGGTAATGGTCCGGATATTTTAAGCTCACTGTTGTCCCCGCAGGCTCGACAAGGACTCAAAAGCACGGTTAGGACGTCTGTCCACACGTTGAAGCCCTCGGAACTCAACATCTGACTAATGGGGAAAAAACGTACGCAAAGGCAGATGCGTGTCACGGTTTGAATCTGAGAAGCAACCCGTAGTGGCAAAAACTTACCTTCGGTTTCATTGCAGTTTCGAGTCGACTCGAGGACTGTTGGAGCATCCATCGAGGGAATCACAACTCTGTAGAGAAAACCACAAGCGCACAAACATTAGTTGCCCCAAAAGATGCACGTGAAAGTAGTCCGGGACTGGGGCTCCCTGAGTTTGCAACGGCTTTTGCAGCGGCAAGCGTACTCTTTTTCCCATGTGATGCAGTGTAAAGCAGCTTCTAAAGTAGAAAGGCTTGGATTCCGGTTCAGCAACTACACACGATTCAAGCGGACTCGTTTTTGAAAGCACGACTAACTTCTTGATAGGTTGACGAAAGGAGCTCTGCCCTCCCTTTTGTCCCTTCTTGACGATTATCAGGACTAAGGTGTTCATTCAAACAGATTCGGCAGTCCTGTCAGGTACCAAGTACTACGAGGGGATGGCCAAGAACCACTGCCACAGCGGCAAATCCTTCCTCACCTGGCCTCAACGGACGGCCGAAATCGCTTGGCAGGAACCGTGACGACAAACGTCGCCTTCTTTGACACGTGGGGCCTGATGGTTGGCTCCGCCTGCCTGGCCCCCGTGAGAACGTCCATCTCCGAAAAGCTCCGCTTGAGGCTCCGGTTCCGGGGCGTGTCTGGGACGGTTACTTCCGGGGGGGCAGCGGTCAACAGACACGGCAGGCTCTTGAACGACCCCAGAAGCGATTGGCCCAACAGGGACCACTCTTCCGGCCCCCCCGGTTCATTCCCGTCAACCGCATGAGGCGCGTCTCCGTCCGGCAGGGGCACGTGTTCCAGCAGAGCGGCTAGCTCCACGTCCGACATGTCTGGAAGCTCCAGCGAAGAACCCCCCGGAAGCAGGGCCTCCGACTTTGGCCCCCCCTCAGTCAGACTCGTAGCTTCGTTGGTGAGAGCTAAGGGGCCGCCTTGCTGCGAGAGGTTATTTGGCACCGCCCCGCAGTCCTTTTCGCCGCCCGTAACCCCCCATGTCAGCTCAACTGAGAGTGGATCTACGAACGGCTGGGCCACAGAACTCGCGGGGTCCGGAACTATCGTCTGCGGCAGGCTCGCACTGATGTGTTGCTGGCGTGCCTGCCCATCAGACTCACCCCCGACAGGGTTGGGAGTTTCGACAATTTTCTTAGCGGGCCCTCTGGGGGAGACACGTGGCCCCTTGTGGGGAGCTGCCTCCGACTCTTCCCTTCTAGGACGTTTCGGGATCCGAGCGGATTCCTCGTCCGCTTCTGCCGCAAGTGTGTTGCGGTGAGGCAGCCTAGGAATCTCCCCTAATACCGGCCTGTCCGTGGCACCTGTTTCCCCTTGGTTTGCCGCCCTGGTCAGGGCCTCGAAAGTGGGTCGTTGAGCTCCCAGTTGCTGCAGGTCTCCGTTCTGTGTTTGCTCCTCCAAACGACTTGGCACTTTCGGAATTCTTGCGTGAACACTTTCCGTAGGGCTGACTGCACCTTGGTCGGACGATGCCACGTGGCAGTCTTTGGAGGGTGGGCAGAGCAGAGGCGGCGCATGGTTCGGGACCTGCAGACGTTCTCAGTGTCAGTTCCTGCTTCTAGAAGTGGAAGCCTTCAGATACTCTGGACTGTATTCTCAGTAACAGGTGGTGCTCTGAGCGCCTTGCCAAAAAGAGGCAGTATGTGCAGTACCAGATTGCGTGTAAATCACATAGGCCGTAAAACCCAAAGCTTACAGATCGGCACTGGGGATTCGCCGTGCTTCATGACGCAAACAACGGAGAACCCTCTGATGTTCAAACAGTAGGAAGTGATTTGCCTGAAGCACCAGAAGGAGGTGTGACTTTCCCAGCCGGTTTAGCCTTCTGATTCAAAGCTGGCACGAGCTAATCACTAATATAGAAGAAGATTGATGACAATTCAGCTGCGTGGGGTCATGCAGAAGTAAGTCCAAAGCAGACCATCAGGAGAGCCCTGACTATCATTTTGATTCAGTGACGAGATGCTGCAGAGTCATATCCACCTTGCTTCGCCACCTCTGCTGAAATAGTTCGAGAACAAACGTTCATGACTCCGAAGTTCCCGCCACGCAGCACCTGCGCTGATCCCTCTCTATGCAAAAGATGAATCAGCCGTCGACATAACTACAGCTTCAAGTGGGCATAATGACATTACGCAAATTGCATCAGAGAAGTTGACCTTGAGTATATAGAAAAACACACGGAGGCGTCACGAGAACCCACCTCAGGCAGGTCCTTGGGCACATTGGCACTCCCGCTGTTGCCGGGTACACCTTCCTTAGCTCCGTCGCATGGCGTTCCGTTGCATGGCAGACCACTTTCGCCTCCTGCCAAGTCGCCTGAGCGCGCCGCTCCAGAGGCCGACCCCCTTGCCCCCAGCTGCTGTGCCCCTGTTTGCCCCTTTGGTTTGCAGCGACCTTGCCCTGGTCCCTTGTGCGCTCCCGCAATCCTGGCCGAAAGCGCCAAGTCGTCGACCGAATCAGCGGGGTGCGCCACGGGACCGTCTCCCACGCTTGCCCGGCTGGTCGTACTCGCGCCACCTGTCCCGATCTCATTGGCTGGCTGCGCAGCTTCTGCGGCAAAGTGACGAAATCTGGTCAGAACCATGCTCCCAACTGGAATCTGCAAAGTCAGAGGCGTTCTCTACCGGGCCAGATTGAGGCGAAGGCTTGTCTCAAATCTGCTTTTACTAGGTATAAGTTCTGAACCCGAAGCACCTAATCGAATCTGCTCGACTGGCCTGAGCCACTAAAAATGAATTTCGTGTGGGCTTCACAATAGTGTAGGATATCAGATTGCCAAGGGTTGAGGACGAGTGAGAAAGGCCTGCTCGTTTTCCACAATAACAACAACCATAGACACAAGACACGTACCAGGTCCCAAAACCAAGGCCTTAAGCATACACGCGGAAGTCTGCAACTGCATATACCAAGGATCCATATACACGGAAGTCTGCAACTGCATAAACCAAGGTTTGCTAGTCAGAACTCGTGTGCAGATCTGGATAGAAAAATCTACACCTTCTGGCAGTTTCAAGCTTCCTCTCTAGGCGTGGGCCGATCAAGAGAGAGCGGCCTTCTCCAGCATTTATCCACACTTGTCAAAAATCTGAACGAAACAAGGGGGCCCACAAATTCCTCACCTTCTGGAGGCGTGTCCCCAGACCGCGACGCCTCAGCCTGCTGGCAACCTTCCGTCGGCGCAGACTTTGTACCAGCCTCATCCCCTTCCCCTACGCCACACAATTCTGGGCCCTGTCCGACTCCCAAGGTGGCACCTTGGAGACCGTCCGCTGCAGTCTTGAGGCAAGCTGATGCCTTTGACTGTTCAAAGTGGTGCACATCGTGCAGAGCCCCGAGCTTACAAGGGTTCCCATTGCCTGGTCCGGCTCCAAAGGCAGCACCTTGGGGAATGTCTGTTGCGGTCTTTGGGGAAGCTGCCTCGGCTGTTTCTGGTGCTGTTGACTGTTCCACGTGGTTTACATCCTGCACAGCCTCAACCTCGCAAGGGGATACTTTGGCGATCTTGCTCCCCTCAAACACCTCAGCCGTCCCCCGGCTCATAGTCTCTGGCGCAGCATTGCCAGAAACCCCCTCCCGGCTTCCGTTCTCAGTCGCCGTTTGTGGTCCTGAGGGCCCCGTATTCACGGAGGCCGGCGTTGCATCTGCAGCTTGGAACCCCTCGACCGGTGTGCCATTGGTTGCCAGGGGGGGTATGAGTGGGGACGCTTCAGCTGGGCTTGCCGAGGGCTGTTTGGGTTCCTTGAGCGTGGGTGACGCGAGGCCGGACACTTGTTGTGGGCTCATACCTCCCAAGAGCTCCGCTTCACTGATAGGGCCCCCCTCTCCATGCGCAGCCGGTCTAGCTTTCTCGGGGTTTGCCAAGGGGCTGGGTGAAAGCGTCGACTCGACTGTCGACGGACGCTTCTCTGACTGTGACCGTGCTTCAAAACCGCCTCTCTGGATCTCCCGCGCCTCATCCGGTCCCGCCTTTGTTCCGACCCCCAGCATTCCGCTGGGAAGTGGTTGCGGGCACAGGAAAGGTGCCGCCTTTCCATCCCCCCTGTCGAGCCCATCGCTGGTCGTCTCTCCCCACGCCTCGATGCCACCCAGTGCTCCCGTCTCTTCCCCCTCATTGCTCACAGACTGATGCACTCTCCTCCCGCTTTCATGCCGCTGCTCGACTTCTATCCCTTCCCCCGACCGCCTGCAATCAGCTTCCCAAGCCAGGAAATCGAGCACCTGGTTCCAGAGGCCACCCCGCCTTGCGCTTCGTCCAATGTTGCGCCATCTGATCGGGCGCAAGCGCGCCGGCAGATCCACATTGTGTCGGGAGCTGCTGGGCCTCGCACTCGTGATCTCCCCTTCCTCAGCTCCTTCCGGGGTCTCAAACTGCCACTCTGTGATCCGGGGGATGACAATCTCCTCCTCACGGAGACTTTCAAAGCGCAACCTTTTTGGGGAGGGGCCGCGGGGATCCATGTCGGCAAGGGGCCAGAGGGGAGAGGCTACCTTGGTGGAGGAGAAGAGGCGGGCTTTTTCTGCTGGAAAGGAATGACCTTTGCTGCAAAACAAAATACCTTTCCAGTCAACAGGCGTGGGAGCGAGTCGTCAAAGACCGGTGCGTAACCACGACATTCCAATGGACAGCTTAAGGTTTTGTCGGGTCTGCTCTTTTTCAGGGCAATTGACAGGAGAGTAAAGATTACGATTTTGAACTCTTCTGTTCTGTTCTCCAGAGCTGCCATCTCCTTGGATCTTGAAAAGACCCCTGGTTTGTCTGATGAACTAGTGCTTGCTGCAGAGGGAACCCTCTTCAGAAGGTAGCATTACAGCTTGCTTGGTTTCCACAAGCATAACATCCAAAAGGGGCACCATTTCCTAGTTTTCAGGTCAGCAGGAAGTGGGGGCCTGTAGGGTTGCGAAAAGGATGGCATTGCCCGCTGAGTAAGTTGAAGCACAAGAGGCCTGTGAATCTGGAGATCTCCCATCAAAGGTTTGCATCCCTACCTGTCTGCTTTGTTGCATCATGTGAAGGCTGGAAACCTTCTCTGCTGATGCTCCCGCTTGAGACTTGAGAACCTCGTTTGTTCTGAAACCTCCACACCTCTCTGCATTGCTCAAACTTCTCGAAAGCAGACTTCAAATTTCGTTGCGTTTAGGGCGTAAGATACTTCTGATAGAGGGGAGGTTCTGGAATCGCAAGAGCTTTGTCTGCCTGTAGATGTTTTCCCCACAGTCTTGATCCCGCTAAAATGTTTAGCTGATCTGCAGAATGCTCGCTCTGAGGAGACTTACAGCGCACGTTTTACTTATCATGAGAGATGAGCGTCTGCCAAATTACCATCCAGCTTCCTCCCACGCGGCTGTCTAAGCGGAGGGTTACACAGGTGTGCTCCTCGAAGCCAAGACGCCGCTTCCAGGTTGTCTTTCTGAGACAGATCTGCGAGCTTTTGTCAGAGTGATGGTTTGGCCGGTTTCAGAAAAGCACATTATGCACCCTCTTCTTCGCATCTCCCCGCCGCACAACCAAAGTGATTGCGACAGCGTCACGGTGGCAATGATCATCATGGCCAAACCCGAAAAGTGCATACGGATGACCGTCAGATGAGAAAGTTGATCGACGGTAGATTTCAGTTCCAAAAACTTTCCGGAGGCTTGTGGGCCCACGATACAT